AAAGCGCCCTCCCCCACTCGCTGCTGTACGGGGAGGCGGTGTTGGAAGACGCCACAACCCCCACATGGCACGGCCAACAGCCTAGCCGACCAGCAGCTTCGCGTAAATCAACCCCCAACTGCGGCGGCACCGCTGCACGCCACGGGGGTGATGGCCGTACGTAGCGGAGTGCGCCGTGCCGCTCGCAATAAGAATGTTTATACTGCAGGAGGAATCCGATGAGCTGTAAAGCTCTTTTTTTCTCTCACAGATATCCAAAACGTCACAACAACAAATGACACAAAAAAAACATGATTGGAAGTGCAAAGTATCAGAAAGGTAAACCATCTTCTTGGTTCTTTCGGTAAAGTCACGTAGAAGGGAAATAATAAAACAATACAAATAGAACACTGTCTCCCCGACAGACCTGGTCTTCACCTGAGGACGGCTGCTTGCGTTGTGGCCGAAACGTCGTGAGAATGATTTTATTTGTATTATTTTATTATTTCCTTTCTACGTGACTTTACCGAAAGAACCAAGAAGATGAATCCCTGCAGTCACGAAAGCTTTAAATCGAAAGGTAAACCAATCGCTTAAAAATATACAAATAAAATTAAACGATTTAAGAAAAATTGTTTACCAGGAAAAGCCCACTGAGTTATGAACTTACTTCTCAGAAGCCAAAAACGACAGCTCACCAAAGTGGCTTCGCAAGACGAGGACATCGTGCGCCTACGTCAGAGAATCCACATTTACGCAAATTCTAAAACGTACCCCCGCAAATGACTCAATCGGCATCATTACATAGCAGCAGCAGCCATCGCCCCCGACTGGCAGACTAATGCCCCAGGTCACTCTTTTTCCTGGGCTCTCGCCCACACCCAGGCCTATCGGAGCCGGGTGGGCGGTGGTGGATGTTGCACGTGGCTGCCTGTAATCCAGCACTGTGGATGGAGGCAGTAGCGAGGGTTGCTGGATCGACGCACACTAAATGGTGTGAAACTCCCTTCTACCCGCGGGCATCGAGGCGTGATATCCTGCCTGGCGCGCTGGGAGAAGGCGGTACAGCAGCAATGTGGACTCCACCTGTATCGTCTGTATGAGATTAGAGTGTTTCACTCTTCGCATGCATGGGGTGGGCCTTCTCCGGGTACTCTGGTTTCCTCCCACATGCAAGCGCTCATTATTTGGCTATAAAAACACCGTAATATATATAGAGGATTTCAGAGCTTGGGCAATTGTTGGTGCCGGGTCGCTGCGTGGTTGCTGCTGTTGCCTCCCGGCTTGTCTGTGGTTCCTCCTCGCGCCTCTGAGTCGTTCTCTCTCTCTTCTACAGCGAACACTGTGTGCGTTACAAGTTGAAGTTATTATACTATTTTTATCACCGTTGTCAAAAGTTAGCAGAGAGATGCAGACAGCATAGAGACGGGAGAGATTAGTTGGCTTTGTTTACGTTCATGAGTTTATTGAGATTTAAATTTGAGATTTTATTTGGGAGCACCTTAAATGTTTTCACGAATCCGGTACCCCTTGAGCTATTTTGGGACCCTGCGCTTTTCCTTAGGTTACTTTGACCGTGCTACATATGAGATAAGCACATATAAGCAGTACTCCATTCTCTGTCCGCAGAACAAAAAGGGCTCATATTTGAGCCCACGAACAAATTGGCTTGTGGGATAAAATATTATACACACAGTGTATCGGGCAGCGTGTGTTTAAGCGAGTCATCTCTATACAGTAGAAGCCCTCTTAACGACCACCCCTGTTCACCACTAACAGTGCTGTTGTAGGTACAGTACATACTAATTAATGCATCGATTAACCACGTTTCTTTTAACATTTTGTGTTTATAACGTTGTTAGTATCTTTATGTATGAATATCCATAGTTTCAATATTATAAAGTACTTTTTTTGGGTGAAAAGGAATTAATGCATTGATTAACCACGTTTCTTTTAACATTATGTGTTTATGTTGTTGGTATCTTTATGAATGAATATCCATAGTTTAAATAGTATAAAGTACCTTTTTTGGGGGTGAAAAGGAATAACTTTTGATGCTATCAGAACGAATTAAGAAGCCTTTAACGTGCAATTCCAAATCACTTAACGGCAGGTTTCGTGTCACCAATCATCGTCGTTAAGAGGGGCCTCCCACTGGACCGGCTTTGACACGCGGGGTCTCATCAGCGCGTGCGCGTGTGACATGACGACATAGGCGCTGTGGGAATTCGCGAATTGCTTCTTGTTGAGCCCCACTTGTCCCGGACCACGCTTAAGCACCCAGAGCTCTCTTTAATCTGAGACAGCTGTTATTGTGTTGTTGTTACGATCACTGCCCTACGCTGTATGCCGTGGCCTACGCCCGACGGCCAAAGCGCAGTCAGCGAGCTCCTATTGAGTCAAGCAATGTCGGTAGGGCGCACACACACAGTCGGTGTTGAGCTTGGAGCAAACCACGCTCATTATGATGATGATGTAGTCCCAGCCAGAGTGCTTCGTAATGTGATGTCTGTATGTATGTCTGTATGTCTATGTATGTATATCTGTATGTATGTCTGTCTGTATGTATGTATGTATATCTGTATGTATGTCTGTCTGTATGTATGGCTGTATGTTTGTATGTTTGTATGTATGTCTGTATGTATGTCTACATGTCTGTATGTATGTCTGCATGTCTATGTATGTATGTATGTCTGCATGTATATCTGCATGTCTGTATGTATGTCTGTTTGTATGTATGTCTGTATGTATGTCTGTATGTGTGTCTGCATGTCTGTATGTGTATCTGCATGTCTGTATGTGTATCTGCATGTCTGTCTGTCTGTATGTCTGTCTGTATGCATGTCTGCATGTCTGTCTGCATGTCTGTATGTCTGTATGTATGTATGTCTGCATGTCTGTATGTATGTCTGTATGTATGTATGTCTGCATGTCTGTGTATGTAGGTATGTATATCTGGATGTCTGTATTTCTGTATGTCTGTCTGTCTGTACGTATCCGCATTGCGGCTCTTGAAGTATCGAGTTTTGTACCCCATTCGACCAGAACGGTGCTCTTGTTGTGATTTGTATTGCTGACCCCTTGCCTGAGCCCGCAGTCTCCCCTGGCAGAGCTGACGCTCACACACCGCAGTGGCTATTGATTTAAGGCTGAGTTCAGAAAGCACTTGCCAGTGATGCTTTAGCGATTGCTGGGAACCCTTTGTGGCCGGGTAGTGCGCTAACTCCTGCGCCACCGCACCTACAAAACACACGCGCGCACGTATAGCACTAGCACGCAATTGCGTTATAGCGCTCGTTGTAATAGAGTCACAAATCGGAGTGTTCACACGTCGGCACCAGGCGCTCACTTGAGGCTGAGTCGACCTAGGGGGATGCGCAGGACCGGCTCAGATAATCTCCACAGGTGTTCGTAGCGCAGCGCGCTAACCGCTCCACCACCGCTCCCCAACTACTGTAATAGAGTCACAAATCGGAGTGTGCACACGTCGTCACCAGGCGCTCACTTGAGGCTGAGTCGACCTAGGGGGATGCCCAGGACCGGCTCAGATAATCTCCACGTGTGTTCGTAGAGTAAAGCGCGCTAACCGCTCCACCACCGCTCCCCAACTACTGTAATAGAGTCACAAATCGGAGTGTGCACACGTCGTCACCAGGCGCTCACTTGAGGCTGAGTCGACCTAGGGGGATGCCCAGGACCGGCTCAGACAATCGCCACGTGTGTTCGTAGCGCAGCGCGCTAACCGCTCCACCACCGCTCCCCAACTACAAAAACACGTGCGCACGCACGTGACTCGCGTGGACACGCGCGGAGAAACACGCGCGCGCTCAAGCGATTACGAAGTCCAACGCCACAACTCAAGGCGCTCTCGTTGCTTCTCTCCCCTTTGCAATGTGGAGCGCGCACAATAGCAAAGCTGCACAGAAGCGATTGCGAGCCGCGGATTCGCCGCCCCGCGTGCAAGAACGGCACGCAAAGCATGCTGAGAAACCTGTTATTTTGTGTTTTTTTTACGCGGTCGAAAAACAACGTTTTAGGGCGTGTGTACCGACGTTTCGGGCAATTGCCTCGCTTCACAGCACACAGAGAGGTAGAGTGGCAAGAGGGTATTTGCCTGAAACGTCGCCTATTATGTACATTATTATTTGTTAAATCCGCAGTGTTATTGACGAATTTGTTGAGCATTCCTTGCTTGTGCACCACTGCCAACGCAGCACCACTGAAAAAAACGTTTAATTTTGAGCGTTTAGGATGAAGAAGGTGATTATTTTCTCTTAAATAAAATGAGGAGCCATTAGCGTGAGTTGATGTTGAGCTCAAGTCCGCATCGCCTCCCGGCTCAAACGAGAGTTGGTGCCGAGCCAGTGGTGGAATTCCTCATTCCCATGACGGGGGGGAGGTGGGGGACAGGGATTCAAGAGTATAGCTGTCCCGCTTATTGACAGCCACAACATGGCAACTCTGTTTGTATCGACCACGCGAAGGAGTACGACTGAGTTGTACTGGCAATGGCCTTGTTGCTGATCCTGCTTCAGCGCTTCGTTGATCCACCACCAGAGGTCGCAACCGGGTACCCGATACCCGTACCCTATCCGATACCCGGTAGCCGTTTGCGACCCTGGTGCGGCCGGGTACGGGTAGGCGGTGAGTCACTGGTGAGTCACCGTTTGTCACTCATTTCGGGTAGGGTACGGGTACGGGTAGGGAGCGGGTACCCATTTGCGACCCTGGTGCGGCCGGGTACGGGTAAGGAATCAAAACCCGTGTGCGACTTCTGTCCACCACCACGACTTGCCAGGTTCCGCACGCACGCGGTGGGCTGGGTGGTCAGAGGTCAGCGACGACGCGGCTCTTCGAGGACCGCTTCGTGAGACGTGTTGTTATTTTTAAAATTATTTTTAACGACAATCGTCTCGTATTCCACGTGCCATTGCGGCTTTCGAAATATTGAGGGTGTTTGTGTTTTTGTGTTACCTAATTAGAACAACAAAAATGTACTCTTCTTGTTATTTTGCTCGCAGAGAGAGAGACCCCCACTAGGGGCTCTGGGTGATGTGGCCGTGAGGGATAACAGCGCCGAGTGTCTCCCCTCCTCGTGTCCTCTACGCTGCGACGGGGTTTTTCTCCGGCGTTCTCTGGGTTTTCCCTGCCGTACAACGAAGCCAAACACGCGTGGATGGAGTTGGGCCCAAAACGCATCCCATCGTTGCAGTGCCCTCCTTGAAAAAGGTCCCTTTTTGGCATTTTAAAATTTTAATTTTTTTGGGTCAACATACAGTGTACTTACTGTACGTCTTAACACAAACATGCCAGTGTAAGTAGCTCACAGGCCGAGCCACTAAAACATAAACAAACAAACACACACGTATGGCACGCTGTAGAAAACTCCACACAAACACACGCAGTATGTTATTACAGGCACACACACAGCACGTATAGCTGCATAACATAAAGACAAAGATGCCCCTATGGCCTCAGCAGACTTTTTGGGGCAAGTGCTGTTAGCGAGCATCGAGGAAGGCCAGAAACGGTGCACGAGGAGGTGGTTCGAATTGTTGGCGCAGTGGTTAGCGCGCTGTGCTAACCAGTGTGCCACTACTACAAGAACGCGTGCACACAAGTGCGCAGGATGCCACGGATACACGCCGCTACATCTGGACAGAGGGAGAGGGAGGGGAGAGCGAACCTGGGTAGCTTAGCTCAGTGACACGTGAGTCAAGTCCCTCATGATCTAAGAAAAGATCTGCCCCATGACCTCCATGTCCCCATCAATAACTCCTGTTTCTCTGTCTCCCACCCAGCCATCCACCCACTCGTGCCTCTCACATACTCTCCCACCCACTCAACTACCCACCCACTCACCTACCTTCCCACCCATTCAACTACCCAACCACCCACTCACCTACCTTCCCATCCACTCACCTACCTTCCAACCCACTCACCTACCCTCTCACCTACTCAACTACCCACCCACTCACATACCTTCCCACCCATTCAACTACCCAACCACCCACTCACCTACCTTCCTACCCACTCACCTACCTTCCAACCCACTGACCTACCCTCTCACCTACTCAACTACCCACCCACTCACCTACTTTCCCACCCACTGACCTACCCTCCCACCCACTCAACTACCCTCCAATCCACTCACCTACCCTCCCACTCACCTACCCTCCCACCCACTCACCTATCCTCTCACCCACTCACCTATCCTCCTACCCACTCACCTACCCGTCCCAACCATGCCGACGTCACTGTCCAAATTTGATTAATTACCCGCAAAACACCCGATGAGGAAAGGCATAGCAACGGTATTCGTATACAGAACTGGCATCCCTCGATTTACTAAAGGTGTGAATTCGACAAAAAACAAGCATAAAAGCACATTTCTTGAATCTGAATGGCTTTTCCCATTTATTTAATACTAAAATTAGGGATGTGTTTCGGACGGTCATTCCAAACTCTCCTCCTAACCTACAAACTATCACTTTCATCACTTTTAACAATACAAAAATAATAACGAGGAACGTCAGTATTCAAACGATTGAATAATACTTTAAAACTAAAATATTGCACCTTTTCAGGGAACTCGCCAAAGGATCTGCATATTGGGATGACTGGGAAGTCGATAAAGAACCACTCTATAGAGGTTGCTGTGGTGGAGATCCCGTGTGCAAAAATGATGAAAAGCAAGAATAGGGTTGAACCTTTCTGACAATAATACAGGTTTTGATTTAAAGCTTTCGTGACTGCAGGGATTCATATTCTTGGTTCTTTCGGTAAAGTCACGTAGAAGGGAAACAATAAAATAATAAAATATAAAAAATAACATTCTCACGACGTTTCGACTGCAACACAAGCAATCATCATCAGGTGTGAAAAACACAGCAAGAAAACCGCCACTTTTTTCAAATTTTCTTGCTGTGGATTTCACACCTGATGATGATTGCTTGTGTTGCAGTCGAAACGCCGTGAGAAATTTTTATTGTTTTATTATTTTATTATTTCCCTTCTACGTGACTTTACCGAAAGGTGTTAAGATGTTCAAACACCCAAGAGATACCTTTTGAAACGCATCAAGTCTGCATAAACCACAGATACTTGTGGCAAAACATGAAAAACATGAATTGTCTTTGTACCTTTTTGCCTCTTGGAGTTCTCTGGTCTAACAATGTTGAGACAAGACCACAAAGAAGTCTGTCCCTGGTGTAGGCCAATCGGTTTCAAACACAATGCGGATATTATCAGAGCATGTGTGTTGTGTATGTGTTTTCCACAAGTTTCTGTGGTTACGGTAATGCAGTTTTGATGAATGTTTGAACATCTTAACACCAACATTTTTATTTAAAGCTTTCGTGACTGCAGGGATTCATATTCTTGGTTCTTTCGGTAAAGTCACGTAGAAGGGAAATAATAAAATAATAAAAATATTTAAAAAACTAAATTCTCACAATTTATTGCTTAATATTTTATTATTTTATTATTTCCCTTCTACGTGACTTTACCGAAAGAACCAATAATATCTTAACACCTGTTTAACTGCCAGAATGGGGTAAAACCTTTTTTAATTTGTCATCTTGGTGGAGACCCCTTCTACCAGCAGTGGCGTGAGCAAGCAGTTGCAGGGCTGCGCCTTAACCCGCATCCACTGCTGGATGAATGCCGCCCCCCCCCACGCCGTGGGAAAGACGCTTGACATGAGACGATGAGACGCTTGTGGGTCAGACTGTTTTTATTCACGAGTGTGTTTACCGTTTACTTAATGTCCCTTCCGTTGGGTTTTCTCTTACAGAGTCTGGGAATAGAGCGAGCTTTTGCTGCAACTGGAACCCATCCTGGAAGGAGAAAAAAAGCAAGATTGAAAATAAAAACGAAATCCGAATATAAATAATTTGTGTATATATAGTCCGTCTCGGAGTCAACCGGCGAACTCTACCAAGATACGAATTCCGAGTTGCAAGCAAGGAGAGACAATTGAACAACACGAACTAACTTTCACTTCAATCAACAACAACAACAACAACAAAATACAGCTTCAATAACAACTGGGGACAATAACATTTAAAAAAGATTTTATTTTCATTTGACCATCATAGCCACCACAATGTAGGTCAATTCACTTCCCTCCCTGCGTCTTCTGCCCACTCAGCGTGACTCTGCAATCCCCTACCCATCATCTGAACTATTTCTTAACTTTGGAAACCCTGCTAAATTAAATAACACGTAGTAACGAGTATCTGTTTACAACTTGCTGGGGATTTTGGGCCTGTGCTCAGCAACTGAAAAGCCATCACCAATTAGAAAAACATAAATTAATGAAGAGCCATCACCTGCAGGAGAACAGCGCTCATTAAGCCACGACCCGGATAAGCGTGCGTGCGTATAAAGGTGACTCGCATTCGGAACGAGTGAACATCTCGGGGTAAAGATTGAGCGCCGAGAGGGGAAGGAGAACTCTGAAGTGCCACCATGCCGGTCAAGGCCCCCATGTACCTGAAGGCTCCGCCCAACAAGAAAGGGAAGAAGCCTCGACTCAGGGACATCCTCTCGCCGGACATGATCAGCCCCCCGCTGGGGGACTTTCGTCACCTCATGCACATCGGAGGCTCGGCGATGGACGATTATAACAATGACAGTAGCAACCAGGGTGCTCCTGAACATCGCGTCAACCATCAAGGCGGCAACCACATTCAGCAGGACCTGCACTACCACCACCAGCAGCAACAACAGCAGCAGCAGATAAACAACCTTCTGCACCAACATCAGCAGCAGCAGCAGATAAACAGCCTTCTGCACCAACATCATCATCATCAGCAGCAGCCCGTGTTAAAAACGGGACGGTCACCAGGATGCAGTGCGAGCTGCCTGGACGCAATGCGCTCACCGGTGCTCAAGAATGCCCTCACCTTGCCCTTCACGGGCTCCCCTCGTGCTCTGGACCTGCCCTACCTCTCCCCACACTATGCCCCCACCGAGGCGTCGTCACCCCCTTGGCCTCCCGGTGGGTGCAATTCCATCGCCGCTGCTGCCCCCCCGCAGAGCGATTCTTCTTCACGGGGGACAGCACCGAAGGATGGCGGCCTTCGCAAACAGCAGTCTGGCGGCTCTGTTGGCGGCGGCGATGGTGGCTCTAGGTGGTCTAATGACGGCACACTGTGCGATGAGCAAGCGGAGGAGTATGAGGACTTGGATGTGTTTGCCGAGGCCGATGGGGACCTCGTGGTGAAACCGTGGCTGCGTCCTCAGGCCAGCATCTCCCGGTCCTTGTCAGTGCCCGTTCACGGAGGCCACTCGGTGTCTCCATCATCTTTTTGTTCTTCTGCTGCTGTTGCTGGTGGTGCTGGTGGTGCTGGTGGTGCTGCTGCTTCCACAGGTCGTGTCTTCTCGGTGCCGTCACTCGCCCACACCAACACTCCGAACCATCGCCTGTCTTCCACCCTGACCCGCGAAGTCTCCGCGGGCGAAAACATTGGGCAAACCCGGTCGGGCCAAAGGTCAAACCGATTTCTCCAGACCATGTTGGTGAACGCCAAACTCTCCAAGCTGTTCCACCATTCTTCGAAGAACAATGTTGGGGACGGAACGCCTGGCGGTGCTGGCGGCAGCGACGACTTTGCTGATGGCGCTGGTGGTGCTGGTCTTGCGGGTCAGAAGACGAACTCCACCACGCGTTTGTGGAACCGGTTCAGCTTCTCGAGGGGTCGAGATGGTGGCGGCAGCAGCAGCGGCGGTGGCGGCGGCGGTTCAAGGTCCTCCACCGCGGTGAAGTCGCGGAGTTCGCCGGTGAAAGCCATGCAGCTGTACCCAGAAACGTCGACCCTCGGTAGAGATCGCACTCACGAGGCCGGGAAGTCCCCTTTCTCTGGTGGCCAGAATCAAAGGGGGCGGCTGGTGGAGCCATCGTCCCGGTACTCGTGGAGTGGATCCCTGCAGAGGGATTTTGGGAATATTTTTCCCAAGGCGCCGTTCACCACTGGGAGGACATCGCCCGGTGCAGATGGAATTGCGGGCACGTTGGTTGATGGATCAATGGTGGTGGCAGCAACAAGATCAGGATCGTCATCATTATTATCATCGCCAGCAGTGGCATCAGCAGCATTATCAACGTCACAGCCATTGTTATTAGGAACACCAGCAGCGCCATCATCATCACCATTAGTAGTAGTACCACCACGACCACTACCACAATCAGCGGCATCAACATCAGTAGCACCACCTATACCAGCAGCAGCAGCAATATCAACGTCTCAGCCATCACTATCAGGGACACCATCATTCGTACCATCGTCTTCCCCGCCATGCGGTGCACCACCTCCATTTTATGCAGTGGCACCGTCGTCAGCAACAGCAGAACCGCCACCAGCTCCACCGCTGTCGACTTCGTCATCGTCATCGTTGTCATCTTCTGCTGCTCGACAGCCGCTGGCGAGGAATCTCTTTCAGAGGTCCCGCTCCCAGATTGCCGCCGTGTTCCGGGGCGGGATCTTCCACAGCAAACGTCACAGCTCTAACCCCACGGACAGCGAGGAGGTGGTTTTCCCGAACGGGACCTCGCAAACACAGGACCGATTGCTCGTCAGCCCGACTCGACACCCCCACGTGGAGTCGCGCAATGGAGTGGCCCAATTCGTTCCTTTGGCCCCAGTGGACTGTGCCATTGATCTGACAGGGGTGCAGGAATGCTCTAAAGGGGCTACGCGCGATGAGCATCTTCAACAGCGAGCAAACGAGGCTTTGGACTATGAGGACGTCGGGGAAACTGCGATGCAACATCAGCCCCGTGATCACCATCAGCAGGCACATCATCACAATCACCACCAGACTCAGCAAAGTCATCAACACCACCAGCAGCAGCAGCAGGAGTTCCATCAGCATTACCATCAGCAACAACATCATCATCAGCAGCAGCAGCAGCATCAAGCTCACGATCAGCCCAGCACAATTCGGCGGTGCCCATCCAAAGACTCGCTGGACCCCTTCCATCTCAGCGGCTCTCTGCTCTCTCTGGGGCTCGACCTGGGTCCCTCTCTGCTCGTGGATGTCCTGGGGGTCATGGACAAACCCCAGGTCCCCTCCGTGGGGGACCCCACGTCTCGGGAGGTCGCGGACAGAAGCCAAAGCTCCCCGGAGAGGGACAGCGGCGTGGGATGCTCCGACGGGGACCTTCCTCACGCCGAGACGCCGTCTCGTCAGCCGCGTCTCAATTAAACACCCGGGGGGGTTATTTGCCAGATAACGCACCTCTGGACAATGTGTGTGTGTGTGGGGGGGGGGGGGCAGATTTATAGCTCAACCAGGAGAAATGTAAGAATCTGATACTGAAATAAGACGAACTCAAAACATCGGTCAATAATGCCACCTCGAAAGGGAATACATTATATGTAAAATAGACGACGTTTCGGGCAATGTCCCATCTTGAGAGGACAGAGCACATTCTTCCATGTGCCTTAAAGAAGAGCCATTGCACACGACGCTGCCTTTTGTGTATTTTTTCCAAATTTTAAGGCCGCACAGTGATATCGAGGTTAGTGTTGTTTTGTTATATATGTAACAAAGCAAAATGTTTGCATTCGTACAGCAGTGGCGCTTGCTTAAACGCTCCAGCTACCCAGGGTGCCTCACATCGCATCTCAAACATTCGAAGGGCACCCCCCCCCCACCTCCCTTGACAGTGGCAGCTGTCCCTGTGCAGCACAATGATACTCAGCACCGGCATGCACATACAGAGGGGCATTAGTCTGACGAATGTGTTGGAGTTTTGTTCTTGTCCCTATTGTGCCTTTGCACCACTGCCAAACGCAGTATCGCCGATTCGTTCGTTTCTCAATCCGCTTGTCCTGGTGAGGGTCGCGTTGGCAGCGTGTTGAGTAGTTGTGGTCCAGACCTCCCTTGCCCTGGCGACGGACTCCAGCTCTTCTTAGGGAATTCCCAGGCGTTCCCAGGCCAGCCGAGCGACTTAGTCCCACCACCAGCGTGTCCTGGGCCGGCCCCGGGGTCTTTGCCCAGTGGGACGTTGCTGCTGCCCGATAGAAGTTCTTGGGGGAGTCTACCGGGGGACATCCTGACCGGGTGCCCGAACCACCTCGACTGGCTCCTCTCGATCCGGAGGAGCAGCAGCGGCTCGACTCTCACGGATTACCGAGCTCCTCACTCGGCAACCCTGCGGATCAACCTCATTTCTGCCCCTTGTACCCAGTGTCGCTTAATAAATGTTACATTTCTTGGATTATACAGATAATAATAATAATAAACACAACTTAGTCCTGACTGAGTCGCGAGACTATTTTCACAGAGTAATTTAACGTGACGCTGACAGATACGTAACTTAAATGTGCACTTACACGTCGCCTTCAAAGTGCACCTAGCCTGGCACAAAGCATCGTGGTGGCATCACTGCAACCTGGTGGTGGATAGCGGCTGCTGTTGTTATTGTCAAGGGGAAATTGGCCTTTCAGCCGAATATGGGCATCCCCTAGGTGAGCTCAGCAGAGAATATGTGAGCCTACCTAGTGCGGCACTGGTTTGGAAGATGATGACGCTAGCATTGGTGGTTACTGTGGTGGTGAATTCACGTGATGGTGGTTACTTTGATGGTGGTGATGGTGGTGTCGGTGGTGTTAATTGTTGTGGCGCTTCTGCAGACTGCTTGACCCAAATTTAAATTCCATTTGGTGGGGTCAGCGAATCACATCTCCAGGATAGATGAAATAGTTGGTGGGGGGAAAAAAATATCTCACCTTTGTTGCCACGGTTGCCGTTGGACGACAGGTGATGAGCGAGGGGGGCGGCGGGAGGGGGGGCTTGGTGACATCATCAGCAAAATCAGCTGCGTCACGCTGGGCGTGGCTTGCAGGGGTTTCCCGCCTTCTCGAGGCAGGATGTGGGGTCATGTACCATGTTTAAGGGATTCCGAGCAAATGTTCGGTCAGCCCACTGACTCACTCGGTAAATCGCACCAACTCTAAATTTGTGGGCAACTTTTAAAGCTTTTGGACACGTAATGGCCCAACACTTGCCAGCTACAACTTTTATACGAATGTTACATTTTTATTTCTTTAAATAATCGCGTTTTGCGTGACATGTGCTGTACTGACGAATATGTACACACACATCACCCGGGAACGCGCCAGACCTGATGAGCTCTCAGAAGCCAAAGCAGGATTTTGAGCCTCGATTGCGCTTGCATTGGTGACCTTCAACACCCCGCTCTAACCAGAGTGCGAAAGAATGATAAAATAACCCCGACAATCCGCACGGCAGGAGGAGAGCCCTCATCCAGCAGTGGATTTGCAAAAAGGGCACTACATTTCGATTTAAAGCTTTCGTGACTGCAGGGATTCATCTTCTTGGTTCTTTCGGTAATGTCACGTAGAAGGGAAATAATAAAATAAAATAAATAAAACATAATAAAATGATTCTTATTTTATTTTATTATGTTTTATTTTATTATTTCTCTTCTACGTGACATTACCGAAAGAACCAAGAAGAAGGGCACTACACTTATGCGTTAATGCCAAAGCGTCATGGACTAAATGAACGACGGCTGGGCCGGAACCAGTCTTTGGAATTCCACGTTCTTATGACGGGGCACAGTGTATCCTTGTGAAAGCTCGACTGTGATCTGCAACCACGGTGTGAGCTGCTTCATAAGGTGGTACTGGTTTTAGCGACCCCGGAGGGATGATGATTGACGGCCATCGATGATGGTAATGGGGCTAAGATGACCATGACCACGATTCAAACGCATGCGAACATACGACTAGAGCCCTACCAGTACACGTGGAACGTGGGGCCACCGTTGCTTCAACCTTGGTCCAATGGTTCCAACCGCATGCCAACATTGGCCCCAACGTTAGCATGTTTACTGGGCTGTCGTTTTACGACATGAGCTACGCGCACTATATATATAGAGAGAGTTTCACGGCACGCCTTAAGTGACCTTTCTTGCAATGTTTGAACGGTACAGGCAAGTATACACGCCACGTGCAGTGTGCGGAATGGACACTCGCCTTCATGTACATCTATTGTATATTCGCATCTCGCATTGTCAATGTACGTTGTTACAATAAAGCATCAAGCTTTAAGCGCTAAGCTGTCTGGGTGTTTCCAATGTGGCTGCATACGGATGTGTATTTCCACCCCCGAGGTTGCTGACGTACGTTGCGAGTGAACGCGTGTAAATTTTGACTTAAAGCTTTCGTGACTGCAGGAATTCATCCTCTTTGGGGCTTTAGATCTACGTGACTTTACCGAAACGCCCAATGAGTGAACGCGTGTGTTGCCCTCGTCTTTGTGCATGGGGTGTGTGAACATGTGGGGAGCGGTGGCGCAAGCGGTTAGGTTAGCGCGCTGCCCTACGAACCTGGTTTTTCCCGAGTTCGATTCCCGATCATGGCCAACGCTGGTGACGATTACCTGAACCGATCATATGCCTCCCCTAGCCTCAAACGAGTACCTGGTGCGGTGTTTAAACATTGCCACGTGGTGCTGGCCCACCCACCCCCTCGTGTACCTCAGAGGTCGCAACCGGGTACCCGATACCCGTACCCTACCCGATACCCGTACCCGGCCGGGTACGGGTAGCCGTTTGCGACCCGTAGCCGTTTGCGACCCTGGTGCGGCCGGGTACGGGTACGGGTAGGCCGTGAGTCACTGGTGAGTAACCGTTTGTCACTCATTTCGGGTAGGGTACGGGTAGGGAACGGGTACCCGTACCCGGCCGGTACAGGTACCCCGTTTGCGACTTCTGGTGTACCTTCATAGGTGCTCGCAAACAACGCATTGCTCTGACGGTCTTTAAGCCAGTTGTGGTGATCTCTGTTCTTTGCTTTCATCCGTGCCTTCGCGATAACGCGTGGGGGAGCAGTGGCGCAGCAGTCGGGGCACTGTTCAATCGACTCCGTGGCTAAAACTCGACTCCCGGTCACGGCTAACATCAGTGCTATCAAAACGGGTCCTGAGGCCTTCCTTAGCTTGACTGGGTCCTAAATGAGTAACATGGTGCGGTGTGCACGCATCAGCCATTGGGGAAACAAAGGCGGCCGGTCGCGCGCGACAGTGACCACACCACCCCCTCGCGTGCCGTTGTTCTGGCCTTAATAGGTGCTCGCTAACAGCACTTACCCCAACAACGGGATGAGGGCTATATGGGGGAGACGTTTGTCAGTGTATGTGTACTCGTGTGATGTGCGTGCTAAGCGCGCGTGTGTGTGTACGGACAAGTTGCCACACCTGTTTTCTGCAATCACTCGTGACCCTAAACGCCAGCAAACTTGACCTCGGGGTCAGAACAAAGATATTTGAGAGAATGCGATGGGTTAGGGGTGGAGGGGCTGTGAAGGAGACACTCAAAGCAGGGGCGCGGGGAACCGGTCCCTTACGGAGCGCTGAATGGAACTTTGCAGACAACCTTTTGCAGCGCTAACAAAGACAAAGATCCCCCGTATAGCCTTAGCAGACTGTTGGGGCAAGTGCTGTTAGGGGCCGTCCATAAATGATGTCACGCGATTTTGGGCGATTTTTTACCCCCCCCCCCCCCCTAGTCACACGGCGTCGCAAAAAGTCAGCCCCCCCCCTCAAATATGACGTCACAAAGCTCTGCACCCCCCCCCAAATAAAACATGCTTGAAATCGCTTTAAATTATTGTCATTGTGGTGCGTATTTAATGTGGCGCTGCACTCTGATGTTGTAGGAAAAAACATTTATTAAAAAAAGTATATTTAATTAAGTAGAACGTGTTGTCTATATTTATTTAAAGTTGCGCATTTTGATGTGACGTCACATTTCTCAACCCCCCCCCCCCCTCGTCACACATCGTCACAGATGTCTGACCCCCCCCTCCCCCTCTAGGTGCATGACGTCATTTATGAACGGCCCCTTAGCGAGCACCTATGAAGGCCGGCACGGCACACGAGGGGGTGGGTTGACAACACCACGCCTGGCCGCCTTTGTCTCCCCAGTGGCGATGTTTACACACCGCACCAGGGACTCATTTGAGGCTGAGTCGACCTAGGGGAGGCCCGTCACCGGACTCGTGGCCCAGCGCGCTAACCACTGCGCCACCCCTGGTGGAGTGACCCAACACCCGCCCATTCGCCACCACGTGCCGGTGACGTCACCACGGCGCCTGTGCCAGGCTAGGTGCACTTTGAGGCCACGTGTCGGGGTTAAGACACACAGCAACTGCCATTCGCCACTAAGTGGCGGTAACGTCACCACGACGCTTGTGCCAGGCTATGTGCACCTTGAGGCCACGTGAAGTGTCGAACGCCCGCCGGCAGGAGGTCACGGGGCAGACCCAGCAGGTGCCACGGGTCGACTGACCGAGACGACCGAGATGACTGGCTGATGCACCACCTGTGCCAACTTGCTGTGTTTTAGCTACCCGGCGCTCTGCACGTTGTTGTTAAGACACAGACACACAGACACACAGACACACACCTTGGCGTGAATCTGTGCGTGCCGAACAGGTCTCGAGAGCGTCTTACAAGTGAACATTAGAAGCGACGTTTTGTTGTAGGTCGTAAAGATCCCACCTCGTGCCCGATCAGCACTAGCGGTGACGGACGCGGTACAGTAATGGTAAAACTTGCATGGTTGTGAGTTCAAATCCTGATTATAGGGGTTGAATCTGCCCCATTATCCCTCTCGGGAGAGGGCAGTACATTTAGTACCACCTTGTGGGAGAAGTTAACGGTGATTGTATTATGTGAATACACTCACCCCCGCCATATGAACGTGGAATTTCCACCATTGACTCAGGCCTGTAAACAGGCGACGATGCTTATTTTGTGCCGGAAATCACGGATTGTTGTTGTTGTTGTTTTAATATGCAATTGGCACGAGTCGCGTGGCAGCCGGAGCTGATGAAACGAAGTCGCGGTTTGATTCCGGCCCACGGGATGTGCCCCCCGGCCTCCCCGAGCTCCACGCTGCATTGTGGTCGTGCTGTGCAACGTCTGGATTCTCGCGTCGACCGAATCCTCTCTTGGCCACCACCGCCCTCACCTGGCGGATCGGTGCCTATTGCAGATCGACGCGACTCGTTCACCAAAGTATAAGAATAGGGTTGACCCTTTCTGGCAATAAAACAGGCGATATAAGATGTTCAAACAGCAGACAGAAACATTTTGCAAGGAGTTATGTCTGCATTCACCACATATATCTTCTTGGTTCTTTCGGTAAAGTCACGTAGAATGGAAATAATAAAATATTTTTTATTATTTTTTATTTTCCATTCTACGTGACTATTATTTTATTATTTCCATTCTACGTGACTTTACCGAAAGAACCAAAAAGATGCATCCCTGCAGTCACGAAAGCTTTAAATCGAAATTTAACCACATATACTTGAGGTGAACATGCAAACAAACAAACCATGCTCTTACAGTATGTGCATTATCTTTGTTACGGATTGGTCCACACCAGAGACAGCTTTCTTTAGAGCCTCGTCTCAAACGGTGTTAGACCAGAGGACGCCAAAAGGCGAACAGCACAAAGACAATGCCACTATGAGGACATCGAGAGCTCGGGGTGAGCAGCTACATCATGGGGCCTTCCTTTGTATTGTTGTATTGCCAGAAAGGGTAAAAGCTATTCTTATATTCTTAGGTTGTTTCGGTAAAGTCACTTACGTGAATCCTTGCAGTCACGAAAGCTTCAAATCTAGAACCTATTCTTATACTTTGATACTGGCAAGGGAGGTCCCATGTCGTTCACCTAAGGCCACAGTGGATAGACAAACCATAATACTGTAACTAGAAGAGAAAATTAAATGTATTCGATAAAAAAACCCTCAATATTTCAAGAGCCGCGATGCCACGTGATGAAAACGAGACGGTGGTATTGGTTAGATCGCGTAAGTATAAATGTGTTGCGACCCTCCACCACCCGACACGGCCAATCAGTAAAAAATGTGTCACGCTAACAAGACGGTGGTATTCTTTGGGTCTTTCGGTAAAGTCGCGTAGATAGGTTCAAAGAAATAACAAAAAACTACAACGTTTCGATCGCAACGGTCGTCATCATCGCTTGTGTTGCGATCGAAACGTCGTAGTTTTTTGTTATATTCTTTGAACCTATCTACGTGCCTTTACCTAAAACCCCAAAGCATATGAATTCCTGCAGTCACGAAAGCTTTAAGTCAAGATTTAAGACGGTGGCACTTAATAAATAACTTCACGAAGAGCCGCAGGTTGTCAACCCTTGACCTAGGCACACGAGCAGGTAGGTAAGCTCGCTCGCTAAGCAGGTAGTCAGGTAAGTAGGGAGGCAGATGAAGATATAGGAAAGCTAGTGAGTGGGTGTACAGGTACCTTGGCATCTACGCAGGTGTGTGGGTAGATAGCTACACATATAGGGAGGCTGTATAGCGAAGCAGCTATGAAATACAGCAGGTGGATAGTGGTAGGTCGGCAGATAGTTGAGCAGGTAAGTCGGCAGCAAGCGGGTGAATGGGTAACCTGAAATGTATGTGGGTGGGCAGGTAGGTGAGTGGGTAGCTAGGATGGTACCTCGGCAGGTAGGTAGGCGGATTAGGGGCCGTCCATAAATGACGTCACGCGATTTTGGACGATTTTTGACCCCCCTCCCCCCCTTCGTCACAAAAAGTCAGAACCCCCCTCAAATATGACGTCACAAAGCTCTGCCACCCCCCCCCCCCAAAAAAAGAAACATGCTTCAAATCGATTTAAACTATCGTCATTGTAGTGCGTATTTAATGTGGCGCTGTACTCTGATGTTGTAGGAGAACACATTTATTTTAAAACTTTATTTAATTAAGTAGAACGCGTTGTCTATATTTATCTAAAGTTGCGCATTTTGATGTAACGTCACATTTCTCACTCCCCCCTCGTCACACATCGTCATAAATGTCTGACCCCCCCCCCCTAGGTGCGTGACGTCATTTATGGACGGCTCCTGAGTAGGTAGCTTGGCATGTTGGGTATGCAGGTGGACATGCTGGCACGCAGTTTGGCGAGCAGGTGCATGAGTGGGTAGGCAGCCAGAGATACTGGATACCGCTTACTCGCTCTCTCACACAACTCGGGTTGCCACCTGTCCTCGATGTCCCAGCATTGCATCGTCCTCTTGTTGAGGCAGCGGCTGTCGTAGGACATCTATACGAAGTCTTCTTAGGACATTAAAAGTCCCGGCTTTAGTCGGTTGCGTAATAATTTCTATTTTTTTTTCAATTTCATTTATTAGGTATAACCCTGTGAGCCATTCGGCTCTTGAATCGGGTGCAACCGCAACAAACAAAAACATGAACAAGAAACATCTTAAAGTGACTACAAACAGAACAATCCAGGAAAAAAACAGCAACATCTTCCAGAAAAAGCACCGTATATCAACGCTGTGTGCAAAAATCCCAGAGGGAAACATTCACAATTCCACCACGCCACACAAAGCGTTCGCGTCGAGCTCTCTGCTCTCGCGACGGTAAAATAGCGAGGACGTTCTTCCCACGATTGACATGTCCCGGTTATTGTGAAGTGGCAAGTCTCACACTCACAGCCCGTACCCTCCCCCAGCGCTTGATGGCCTCCTGCTGCTGCTGCTTGGGCTTGTCCAGAGCCACAGACCGGAGTCAAACTCGGGCGACAGAGCCACGGTGGGCCATGGGTGGAAAAAACCCCGATTTTTCCAGCGGCAGGCATCGGGTTTTTTCTTTAATACAATTAAACCCGATTTCGGGCAATTAAAACCTGGTTTAATGAATACGAAACTCTGATCCAAGGCTTAGGCTGCTTCCTCGTCGGTGCTGCTATCGTACTCGGGGGCCGTCGGGCACGGGGTAGTCGTAGAATTCGGCGGGCAGGTTGGTCGTGATGAACACGAGGAGCTTCTCCACAATCGTGGGCGCCAGTGAGTTCCTTCGCTTGGAATGGATGAAGCCCATCGTTGAGAAGTTGGCGAAGTGCGGTTCTGCAATTAGAACCAATTAAACCGGATTTCTCCCAATCTCATATGATCGGGTTTAATATAACAAGACAATTAAACCCGATTGTAAAAAAAACCCCGACTGTGCCACCCTTGCGGTGGGCGAAGCAGAAAGTGTACACGAGCAAGCCACGTGGGAGACGTGGTGTGTGCATCACCATGGCGAGAGGAGGAGTGGAACCGGCCCAACTGGACTGGTTTTATAGCGACGCTCGACATTTAAATTGTTTTTATTATTTTTTGTGTTCAATTTAAATTTCATGGCTTTGGCCACGGTTTTATACAAATACGTACCCGCGGCATTTCTGAAAGGCGGCTTTCACGACAATATTCGACCGCCGCAGATTTCGACTCACCCAACTCTACCGCTCCGGCACCCGCAGATTGGAACTCCTCGTGGCACGCGCAACACTTCTAGACACGCATTGTGGTGTTCACGCGCATTGTGTTGACGGGCATTGTGTTGACGTGCATTGTGTTGACGCGCATTGTGTTGACGTGCATTGTGTTGAAGGGCATTGTGTTGACTCCTTGACTCGTGGGTGGGGAACATACGAGAGTGAGACAAGACCCATCCCTTCCTGTATTTATCAATCACTGCCAGCACATTAGCCGCACTAATCGGGCACTGGAGAGGAACATGTTTTGACCTGGCAAACGCACTCTTTGTAATTGTATCACGCCCAAACACTGTTGTGATTGGGCGCAATTCCCGATCCACACATACGGAGACATCACGGCGATAACGCTCAGCGGTCATCCGGCTTGACCACCTGAATGTGAGATTGTAGTTGTTGCTCTGCAACTTCCATCAGCAGCCGCACGCAAGAAGTAGAAGACCGTTGTCATCACAGCACAGGCCTCTCTCACTGACAGAAGCGACCGAGATGTGTGTTGATGTTGTCGCCAGTCACAGACCCAATTGACTCGCGCAAGCTCGTTTTATAAGATGCGTTCCTTGCAGTTGCGCATTCAAAACACAGGCTGGCCGCTCAGTGGCGTAACGTGGTTTAGCAATGGGGGGGGGGGGGGGGATTGGCACAAGGCATAGAAATGGGGGGGGGGGGGGCATTACAATTTTCACGTAGCCCGGCGCCTGGGGCTCTCCGGCCCGTGGGCTCCCGGTGCAGTTGCACCACCTGCACACTTGCACCGCCTGCACACTTGCACCGCCTGCACACTTGATGGCTACGCCACTGTGGGCGCTCAGAATGTGACCCGCAGCAGGACGAGAAGAGACTCGCGTTGCCTCGAACTGACCTTTCAGCGATTGTCCAGTGCGGCCTCCATTCCTTAATATCTTAATACATCACACCTCTGATTTATCACGACTGTCTACGTACATACATCACCAGACTCATCAGCTTGCGACTCCAATGAAATGTCTAAGCGAATGAGCTGTTAAACTAAAAGTCCACGAAAGATTCGAGTTTGCGCTTTATGCCCATCCCGGCATAAAGCAGACTTCGTTTGTAAGCCACAACGCTGAATGTTTGTGTCCTACAGACTAAAAGGGCCCATTCTCACTGTGAACGGACCTGCCGTATAAATGATGCCCTGGCGTACAACCTCTTCCATGACTGAAATGATATTATCATACAACCAACAGAGAGCAGCACACACTGCACTACAGCACCCCCCCCCCCCCACGTCCAACAAACGGGGTGAATCTTTTTTTCGAAACTGCAGTTTTTAAAAATCGTAATGTTTCACCGCCCCCATCTGTGAATAAGTCGTAACATTTATTAGCCTGTTGAGGCTGAACGCCGCTCACAGGCAGCAACGTACCTTGTAGAAGGGTCAAAAGGTGACCGTGCCATGCAGGGGGAAGGGTATCGGGCGTAATGTCACTCGTGCAATGCAGAGGATTGTTATAAAAAAAAAACATTCACTCTGACGCCGCACCTCCCAAGTCACGCTCGAACTCTGCGGTCCATCCGCTGCATTGTGGCGAGATGTTAACTCCCTCGCCTGGTACACGGGAGGTCGTGGGTTCGATCCTGACCCTGACGCCGTGGTCGCGTGGATTTTTCTCTGGTTCCACCAGTTTTTCCCCCCTGTTTTTTCCCCCCAGTTTTTTCCCCTCCCTAAATGCATTTAGAAAAATGCGTTTTTGAGTACATGGCTGCTGTACATTTCTGCATGATAAGCCACTTCGTTGAGCTATCATTTGTGGCCAGGTCGCTTCTGAAAAAATAACTGTATAGCTCAGTTGACCTTACCTGGTAAAATGAAATAAAAAAAATTGCATCAAGGACCAATTAATAATTTCAGTTCCTTTTCAGTTCTGACAACATCGGGGCCATCACTGCCGCTCAGCCTCAGCCTCTGTCAACAGAGGGGGGATTGTGGGAGAGGGGGGCGGCTTCCCCTCCAGTAGGGAGCTCCTTTCGGAGGAGCCGGCCGTCACTACGCCCTCCGCCCCCCGAGATTCTGGCGCCCGCATTGGCACCACCGCCGCCACCGCGGGCGCTGGCAGATCAGCGAGCCGTGCCGCCGCGATCCACTCGGCCGTCGCCACCGGCGCAGGCGGCCCAACGTGCTCGTTCAGCCGCGCCGGCTTGGGCGGAGGAACCGAGGAGGCGGCGGCGGCGGTGGCGGCCTTGGCGGGAAGCGAGTCTCCGTAGTCATTGCCCCTTTTGTCGACGGCAGCGGCGGCAGCGTCGTCGTCGTCTGCGCGATCGTCTTTGCCGCTGGCGCCGCTGCAGTAGATGCCGACGGCGGCCCCGCAGCCGCTGTCACCGCCGCCGTCGCCGTCGTCCCTGCTGTCACCGCCGCTGGGCTGCGGGGCGTCGTGGTGGGACGGCACGTTGCCGTACAGGACGTCCTCGCGACGCGACAGGGGCGGCAGGTCGGCCAGCAACTCCTCGAGCCGCTCGCGCAGCACGGGGAACGTGGGGCGGCAGCCGGCCTTCATGCTCCAGCAGTCGCTCATGATGGCGAACCTGCACCGGTAGGTCGAGGATAAAGGTGCGGCCCCGAAATTGCTCGCCGCGCGCGACTGCTGGCTGACGGGCTTCCACTTGCGGGAAGGTCTTGAGAACGAACTCTAGAGGGTACGCGGACCGCACTTCCACGCCGACTACACGTTTTCGAAAAGAGGCGAGAGTGCTCACACTTCACCCCACCACACGCAACCTCGACTAACCGTGGTGTACCCGCTTAGACAGAGGTGGCGGAATCCGAGAAACTTTTCCATTTCTACCTGTCTGTCGCTCTGGGATATTGAACCGTTTGGCCTACGGATTGCAAGTTCGGTGTGCTGCTAAACATTACACCGTAATTACACACAATTAACTATCGATTGTGGAAGGAGGTTGGATGGGAGCGGTGGGGGGGGCAGTGGTGGTAAATTACAAAATGTTATAAGAAAGGGAAGGGAAGAGGAAACAAAAAGAGGGACGATCCTAGACTCTGGGCAAAGGAAGTGAAGCGCACGGCTGAGGATGTTGTTTTGAATACGCAACCGCATGGAACGCGTGTCGTAAAACGCGTGGCGTGAGTCAAATGGGTTGGTGAGAGGCAACGCACAAATCTCAGTCACTTCTGTCAGTGAAAGATGCCCGTTCTTCTTCAATCGTATTGGCGGCGTCTGTCGCTGTGATGTCTCCTTCGTAGCCAACCGTGCTAAGCGGAGGTGCGGCGGACGTACCAACAAACTAAACACCAACAGCAGTCGAAAAGAAACGGCTTTTAAACCCTCGATGATTTCAACGTGCACAGCTGCAGTGGCTTCCTACTACCGGAGTGCTGTTCATTGACGCAGCGTGTGGTGGCGGAGGGGGGGGTGGCACTCACAGCTCGTCCAGGCAGTCCGGCGGCTGCTTGAGCCGCTTCCCGGTCACCAGGAAGTCGAACATCTCGTGGTTCGCCACGCCGGGGTACGGCGCCTGTCCCCTCGTCACGATCTCCCACATGGTCACGCCAAACGCCCACTGTCGCAAAACGACGAGACGACGGCGATTAGAGAACCGAGGCGGTTTGGCGGCCGGCGCGTCCCGTTACCGCCCTCACCGCGTCGCTCACCACGTCGCTCTTGGCCGTGTAGAGGCGGTCGGCCATGCACTCGGGCGCGAGCCACTTGACGGGCATGCGGGAGATCTGGCCCTGGCGGTAGTAGTCGCCGCTGTAGATCTTCTTGGTGAGGCCGAAGTCGGCGACGCACACGGTCAGGTCTTCGTGTAGCCTGCGGGGAGGGCAGGGGAGTTGGGGTGGACGGGGCAGTGGCCGAGACCGGCGGTGCTCGGCATGAAGCGACAAACTCTGTATAAGTATTTTTTTTCCCTTTTTTACGAAACTGTTTGCCGATGCACGATATGGCCACGATGGCCGGCGAAGTGAAGTTGTGCGCCGGGCCTGGACTCACATGCAGTTCCGGGCGGCCAGGTCTCGGTGGACGAAGTTGTTGGCGGAGAGGTACTCCATCCCTCGTGAGATGTCCACCATGAACTGCAGCAGGGTCTGCAGAGGCATGTACTGTTCCGCACACGCATGCACGCACACGGGCACACAAAGGCAAATATCACCCACATAGCCTATAGCGAGACTGTTGGGGCGAGTTGCTGGTAGCGAGCACCTGTTAAGTTTAGGGTGGGTGGCCAGCAACACGTCCGGCCGCCTTTGTTTCCCCAATGCTGATGTTTACACATCGTAGAAGGGACTCAGTTTATGGCTGAGAACAACCTAGGGAGGCCTTGCACCGATTCAAACATTCGTCACTGATGTTGGCTGTGAGCGGGATTCGAACTCGGGTCGTCGGAGTTTGTAGCACAGCAGTGCGCTAACCACTACACGCAAATCCACCAAGTGTTCGCGCACACGCATGATCTCTCAGTCCATTGCCATGGCCAATATGATTTCCACACGGACATATTCATTATCATCAAATATCCCTTCAGGTGATCTCTGGTCCACACACAAGTGACGAGTGGGAATTTAGCCAAATAAAGTGCAGAACCAAATGTAATGTTTTTTGTGTGTGTGTGTAGTCATTGGTGACCGGGCTGAGATGCCATCGACTCACTACACTCGGCAACCCCCGTCATCTATGTACGTTGAACTTCTTTCGCACCGTACGTAGCCCACCGCGCTTTAATCACGTGCACCTGCCTCGATTCGAACCCAGGACCCTCAGTGGTGGCAGCTCGGCACTTCGACCTCCGAGCCGGCTGGCCACCACACAATTGTTTTTGTAAATATTTTTATATTTTTTAATTACATTTTTGTTTTTTAATCAATTGCGGCTTTTAACGGCGGCGTTACCACGGGCGTGCGTGTGAAGCGCGCGCGCTTGAGGAAGCTGTGCAGGTCCCCGTGTCTCATGAAGGGCAGCACGGCCATGGGACGGGGCAGCCGCTGGTCGGGGCACACCTCCAGGCAGACGCCTGCGAGGGGTGGGGGGGGCACGGGGGGTGAGAAAATACGCTCGCGATGAATGAGACCCACAAAGTTGTTGAAAATGCTCTGCGAGTTTGCCGGTTCAAAACGCTTGATTTTGCAGCATTTGTTTTTCCACACAGAGGTGTGGGAGGGGGGGGGGGGATTAGGTCGGTACCGTTTCCTAGGCAACAAGATGTCAAGCTGCACCTATACAAGCCTTGTATGTATCTTTTTTGTCTATTCAAAACGGTAAAATAATAGAATGCGTTAGATGGCAGGGGAGTTTCAAGGCTCGGGAATGAGAGACCGCGATAGAGAGGTTCATAGAGGTCCATGAAAGAGCTATAGGGGAGGGACGGGAAGGTGTAGAGGGGTGAGGGGGGGGAAGAGAACGGGCAATGGAGAAGAGGGCGAGACTTCAACAGATGCACGTGCATCTCTGCGCGTGCCCATTTGGATGCAGTGTACGAGCGTTGTCGTTGCGTGCGTTGCGCACGTCGCGCGGGTCACGCGACCCCGGCTCGCGCACAAACGTATCAAGATGAGGATTGCGTGAGGACGGCTCTCCTTTCTGCCGCCCTTCGTAAAAGAAATCGTTGCTGTGGGTCGACCCCCAGCCCATCATCCCTCCCTCTAGGGTCGTTTAAGCGAGTTACCATTCTGTGGACATTTTCTCCAGTGGTTGTCCTATGGAGAGACTCTGCCTCCTCCGCCATAAGTTAGTGGAATTCCAAATCTTTTAACTTGAAAGCCTTAAAAAGGAAAGAATGCATAAAAAAAAAAACCGGCGCGGCTAAAAAAAAAAGTCTTACAGCGGAATTTTTTCTTTTGTAACTCAAAATCTCTGAGCACACAGTGGAGGTGAGCCCGAGTGCGAAGATCACACTCGCTGATTTCCACACATTGTCCGACGCATTTCATTCCAGGAACCGGTTGGAAGGGAAGGGTCACCCCAACGATCTGCCCTGCCCCCTGGGTGTAGATGCTATCATTAAAACCCGTTTTCTAATAATTGGCAACATACCTCACCCGTTAGCCTTGGGGCACAGCCCGCACGAGCTCCTGCTTCTCATTTTAAAAAAAAAAACATGCTGAGGCCTGTCGCCGCGCCTCACTCGCGCGTTGTTCGGGCTTGCGCCCGCTCCCCCATCGTCATTTTATTTCTTGCACGTCACCTCCCGCGCGGCGACGTGCCGTCTCCGCCGAGGGGCGACCGGAGCAAAGGAAGGAAGGGGGGCCTCGGAGATAATTTACTCACTCGGCGGGGAGGAGGAGGAGACTGCGGGCTGAACGCGGTGTTCAAAAACAACACGAGCATCGACGCCGGTGTGGGAAAAAAATGATAAACTGGCCCCCGGTGGTAGCCCGATGGAAGGTTGCCGAGTTCACATCCGAGTTAGGGGTTGATTCAGCCCATCGGCCCTCTTTCGGGGTTGATGATGCAGCCGCCACTCTGTGGCGGGAGTTCACGGCGGTTGTCACGTGGACAGATTCAACCCCCATTGATGAATGAGGACTTCTCCACCGCTGGCTCAGGGCTGCCAACAGGAGATAACCGCCGACTGAATGCTCATTTGAGCAGGAAGTCGCTGCGTTGCACCTTCAACTGTGCTCGAGACGCCTACAGTAACCCAGCAGTGTGGAGGCAGCAGTGAGAGTTGGTGGATCATCGCACACACAGCTGTTGTGAAACTCCCTTCCACCCCGTGGAGCGTGTGCGTCCAGGAGGTGCCATACCCTGGCTCGCCAGGAGAAGGCAAGGGGACCAATCACTGTGGGGATAGAGTGTTGCCCCCTCTCACGTATGTGGGGTTTTTCTCCAGGTGCTCCGGTTTCCTCCCGCACGTATAAACATCGTTGATTGGCAGAAAACATCTCAAGGCAAGAACCCAATGTGGCGGGACACTGCTGAAAAGAGTGGGTTGTAAGTCTAAGTGTGGCATTCCTGGATAAGTAATTAATTATCATGCTTATAAATTATTATTAATGATTGTGCAATAAATTTCAGATCACGTACGAATAGCTTGAATGTAATACTAAGTTAATGAAAATAATATAATTAAAGTAATAATAATTTCATTATTAATCATTTTGATTATCAAAATATAATGGTATATTTTTGTTACTTAAATAGATGCGTATCAACAATTTATTTCAGTAATAATATAATTAATAACGTACTTTTTTTAATGAACTATTATTATTTGCCCCATTGTCCGTGCAGTGGTTACAAGACAGAGTACATTGGAAGTGTGGACGATCAACAGGTTGTCTCCTCTAACGGCAGTGACTCTCTCTGTAGTGAGCAAAATCGTTTGGGGCGGTGGGGGGGGTGGGCGGGTCCATTTAGAGAGAGGTGAAGAGAGAGAGAGAGAAATAGGGGGGGGGACGAGGGGGGCGGGGTTCAGGTGTGCGATTAACTTTTTTGTCCGATGTTAATCGTACAAGAGGATATCAAGGTAAAGATCGCGTAACGATGGCTCTAAAGCCGGGAGGAAAACCATCAGGCAGGCCGAGGGAAATCTTTCCAATGGAGCTTCGCTCGCCGCCCTCAACTCACCGAGGAGGCGGATGACGTTGGGATGGTCGAAGTCCTTCATCGCCAGCACTTCATTCAGGAACGACTCGATGTCACTTGAAGTGCAAACCTCTACTGCAAGCAGAGGAATAAGATTTCATGAAGCTGTCGCACGCACCCACCCACCCACCCGCTCATTAACGCACGCACTTTCACTCGCCCACTCACGCACACATTCGCTCGCTCGCTCACGCACTCATTCCCTCGCTAACTCATTCACTCACTCGCTCATGCACTCATTCCCTCGCTCAGAGCACACTCAACTACAATCACTCTCACTAAACACACATTCAGTCGCACGCTCGCTAACTCTTTTGCTCGCTCACACGTTCTCTCACGTGCGGCCTTGCTCACTCGCTCACCTTAATCACACGTAACTCGCATCACGCTCGCTCACCCTCTCATTCGCTCACGTACTCCCTCACCAGGGACAGACTGTCTATCTCCGTGACTTTTAAATGTCTTCGGAAGTTAACTGCTTTCTGATGAAAGACGGTTGGCTGAAGAGTTGGGATCTTCTAATCCAGATTTTAACAAAAGCTCCAGGACAATCTTTCTGAGCTGGGGTCGTTTGGCAGCCTTAGCTCTGAGCGACCGCCGCCTGGAAGCACAGTGCCTCCACCATTTCCACTCTAGACCAAACCCAGATGTATATCTGTCAGTCAGCCTAGAAGCTCTGTTATCAAAACCGTTCAGTCGTACAGTAAACCGTTGTGAACGAAACACCACATCTCTCACAGTTCAAATCAATTGCCGGCACCGGAACACGGATGGCCGAATCCCGGGAATGGCCCCGGGGTCAAATCTCGGGGTCAACCCAACGTCGGGGTCAAAGCCGCAGCAGGTGGCAACCCTCTGACTGCTCGGCAACCATCTGGGAGTCGTTCCGTGTTCACCTTTCATGGTTTTGACGGCGACTTCAACCTTGGTGCCGTCGTCCTTCTTGAGCCGCCCTTCGAGCACGCAGCCGAACTCGCCTGGGCACACGGGGTCGCCGGCGACGGCACGTCACAGAAATTATCGCGACGTTACGGCGCACGGACACAACGGCAGAGCGGGTCGCCCTGTTTTGCTTTGGAGCAATGGGCGGGGAAACATTGGGCTTGGCCGACGGCCAAAAATTGACTCTTTACTTGATACAGCAATTGTGATGTGACTGTTCCACCTGAAGACGGAAGCTTGTGTTGCCTCCGAAACGTCGTGATTTATTATTTTATTTCTATTATTAATATTATTTAGATATATATTTTACCTACGTGACTTAACCGAAAAAAAACCTAAGAGTAAAAATTGGACTCTCAAAATACCTATGGTGGTCACACGTTAGCAGGCTAACCTGGGTCCCTGTTGTCACTGCAACAGCCCCCACCCCCCCTCCCCCTTTGCGGTGGATCTGCTTCCGTCCGTCCGTTCAGCAGAAGACGATCGGCCTGACAAGGACGTCCCTCCTCCATCGCCGTCTTCTCGTCTACAACAATCTCACGGCTGCCCTCACCACCAATTCCCACCCACCCCACCCCGTTCTACATCACTCTTCAATCTGTCAATCCAATGCATTCCCTGCCTCTACTCCTCAATCCACGCAGTCCACGTGGGGCGTTCCCTCGTTATTCACGACACTTGCTACCCCGTGATTTTGGCTAGCTGCGAATTGCATCTGGAACTCTGCACGACCGCTGCATCATGAGAGAGAGAGAGCGAGAAAGAAAATAAAGTGATGACATGAAGGTCAATTCATTTATAAGCAATTATTTAAAGCTTTAATATGTATTTGTTATTTATTTTATGTTTATAACTAATTTAAATATTTTTTATCAAGTAAATTTCCACGTGTTTTATAGCGCATTTATATATTCATTTAAGCTAATTAATTAACAAGATCGGTTTTCGTGGGCCAATATCACAATCCGTGAAATTTGCTACTCACGAGCATCTCTGGAATGTATCCGTCACGAATTACGATGGCATCGCGTACAGCGTTCTGCCGTGCATCGCCAAACATCTGGAGTCAGGTCCGGAACCGTTCTTGTCTCGACCACCGCAGTCTCCTTCCCTGGCTACTTTCTTGACTCCCTCGTTGTTGTCTTGTGTCTTCACTTCTTGTTTTCTGAAGTCTCGAAACTCCCCAACATTTCCCCCTCGTCCAACCCAGTTCCGCAGTCTGAATATTTCGTCTATCTACTTTGCTCACGACTCCCAACCTCGCCATGCCCACCTCCGATTAACACGGTTATCCTACGTACGGTGCGAGAGAAGTGCAACATACGTACGCACGAGGGTATTGGGGGCACGCTCATGGCCAGGGGTTGGCAACCATAACAACAAGGGACATTTTTTTCGAATTTAGGGGCCGTCCATAAATGACGTCACGCGATTTTGGACGATTTTTGACCCCCCCCCCCCCTTCGTCACACGGCGTCACAAAAAGTCAGACCCCCCCCCCCTCAAATATGACGTCACAAAACTCGGCTCCCCCTCCCCAAAATAAAATATGCTTCAAATCGCTTTACTGTTGAAGACATTTATTAAAAAGTCTATTTAATTAAGCAGAACGTGTTGTCTATATTTATTTTGATGTGACGTCACATTTCTCAAACCCCGCCCGCTCCTCACACATCGTCACAAATGTCTGACCCCCTAGGTGCGTGACGTCATTAATGGACGGCCCCTTAGTAAAAAAAAAACCTCAATATTTGAAGAGCCGCCAATGCGCGTAAAGACGAGACCGGCGGTCCACGATTAATCACGTGACGGAGCGGTTCATAAAGAGCGGCGGGTTGCCGACCCCTGGCCCGTGGCTCACGCGAGGTTCCCCGCCAGAGGTCGCAAACGGGTTTTGATTCCTTACCCGTACCCGTACCCGGCCGCACCACTGTCGCAAATGGGTACCCGGCCGGTACGGGTACCTGTTCCCTACCCCTACCCTACCCGAAATGAGTGACAAACGGTTACTCACCAGTGACTCACGGCCTACCCGTACCCGGCCGCACCAGGGTCGTAAACGGGTACCCGTACCCGGCCGGGTACGGGTAGCCGGGTATCGGGTAGGGTACGGGTATCGGGTACCCGGTTGCGACCTCTGCTCCCCGCCCGTACCTTCTCCCAGCACGCTGCCCAGGTGGAGGCAGGGCCTCTTGAGCAGCACGCCACTCAGCTTCTGAGACAGCGCTTTGCTCAGCCCGCATCGCTCCACTGCAGGCACAACGACAAAGATCGAGTTGTAGTCTCCACAGCCTGTTGGGCCACTCACAGATATACGCAAATGTAAAGATCTTTGTATATCTTTGACAGACTTTTGGACTAAATGCTGTTAGCACCTATGAAGGCCGGTACAGCACACGCGGGGGTGGGTGGCAATGATGACACACCGCACTAAGGAATCATTTGAGGCTGAGTCGACCTAGGGGAGACCAAGTATTGGGTTCAGATAATCGTCATTGGTGTTGGCCGTGAGCGGGAATGGAACCCGGGTCGCCGGGCTAACCACTACACTGCCGCTCACTACGACAAGGAATACACACACACAGGCATCAGTGAGCTCACAAGCTCGGCTTGCTCATCGTAACTGGAAGGACTGGACAGACCAGGGCATTTGTTGTTGTGCCAGGTAAAGCAACTTGGCAAGCTGCAAATTTGTGTCATTAAAATTCCATTGCGTGGGAGGGGGGGAGTTTAAAAACCCCAAAAACCTCCCCACTGCACCGGGGTTCCTTCCTCAAAACATTTTTTTTACTCATCCGCCAACAAAATAATCATCACGGTCGGATTCATTGCGCATGTCCTCATTGCAACACACCGTAACCCCCCCGCTTGGGGAAAAGGAAACGGTCCTCCACGGCTGGTTTGCGAGCCACCTCGCAATGGCATCTATCGTGGCTGGCACGGCACGGGGCGGTGAGAGCAAGCGAGCGGACACCTTGGTGGGGAACGTTTGACCCCCACGGGGCGCCTTGCCAGATCGGCACTTCATTCGGTAAAGCTGTTGCTGTGGGGCGTGGGAGGTGGGGTGGGGGCACCATAGCAGGGATTTACTGCTGAACTTGGGTGGGTCGGGGGGGTGGGGCAAAGGGGCATTTGGTAGAGCAGACAAAGATCCCCCCCGGATAACCTTTAACAGACTTTTTTTTCCGCCTGAGGACGACCGCTTGTGTTGCGATCGAAACGTCGTGATATATTATTTTTTATTTTATTTTTCTACCCACGTGACTTTACCGACAGAACCAAAGAGGATGGATTCCTGCAGTCACGAAAGCTTCAAATCAAGACTTTAACAGACTGTCGGGGCAAGTGCTGTTAGCGAGTAACACCGATGAAGGCCGGCACTGTGGCACACGAGGGGGCGGGCGGCCAGCACCACCACGCCTGGCCACCTTTGTCTCCCGAGTGGCGATGTTTACACACTGCACCAGGTACTCATTTGATGTTGAGTCGACCTAGGGGAGGCCCAGTACAAGTTCAAATAATCGTTACTGGTGTTGGCCGTGAGCGGGAATCCAGATCTGAAGTGCAGCGCACTAACCGCTACACCACAAATAAACACAAACACACACATGCGCACATACATACGTACACACGCGCAATGCGCACGTACGTGTAAGCTCGGGGTTGTCGCGCCGATATCTCCGAATCTCCGGGATCTCTATGAGCGGCTCCCCCCGGTCCGCAGCTGCGGGGCCGAGCTCCGACCTGCACCCACGACACGGACAGCACCAATGTATTTGTGTGGCGAGTGAAGCGCTGCACTGGACTTGAGGACTCACTCATTTTACCAACGGCTATTGCGTAGTTCATTGTTATTGGCCACACAACAATTGGAAGTCCTCAAATTATGCATGGTGGTGAGATGTTAACTACCTCGCCTGGTATACAGGAGGTCGTAGGTTCGATCCCGACCCTGACACCTATATATTTTGAGTTTGCACGTTCCTCCCATGGTCGCGTGGATTTCTCTCCGGGTCCTCCAGTTTTTCCCTCCACATTTACAAACGTGCGTTTAGAGTATTTGGCTGCTATACATTTCCACGTGATGATACGCCACTTCGTTCAACTATCATTTGTGGCCAGGTCACTTCTGAAAAAGAGCTATAAAGCTCAGTGGGCTTTACTTGGTAAAATAAAAAATGTTTAGTTTATACAGCCTCAGGTGGTACCGACAAGTGAGAAATCTAGACTGGCATGGTGAGGCTGGCATGGTGAGGGTGTGATGGTGAGGCTGGCACGGTGAGGGTGGCACGGTGAGGGTGGCACGGTGAGGCTGGCACGGTGAGGTTGGCACGGTGAGGGTGGCACGGTGAGGGTGGCACGGTGAGTGTGGCACGGTGAGGGTGGCACGGTGAGAGTGGCACGGTGAGGGTGGCATGGTGAGGGTGGCATGGTGAGAGTGGCATGGTGAGGGTGGCATGGTGAGGGTGGCATGGTGAGGATGGAATGGTGAGGTTGGAATGGTTCCGGTGCAAGTAATGAAATAAGGCCCTCTGTCTAATTCTCTCTCTTCGTAACCCAGCACCCATAAACTTTCCAACAATAATAATGAAACAAACATTGACTCTTACGCAAGTTAATTTAGTGCATGCATCGTGAGCTTAAGGATCAATATGAATCGATGGATCGATGTCTTGTTCCACGTGTACGTAGAGAGCAGCTAAAAGATCTGTTTCATGCGTTTAATACTCATCAGCAATTACAATTCTCAAAGTGCCTGATGATGGTGGTGGTGTCTCATTGGCGTGGACAAGTGCAGTGGCGTCGCGTGTTTAGAAGCATGACCTGTGGCGCATGGGATGAAATGGGGATCCCACCCCTTGTCCAATCACCCCTCTCTCTTTGTAGCCCAGAACCTGAAACCCTCTAACCCATTTGACTGTAATTTTTTTTTGCTCCGATTTCTATTGACTTCATTGCTGTAATTATTTTTAAAAAATTGTTTTTGCCATCGTGGTGACCCAGGTCACTTATGCCAATGGGACTCATCCTCCTCTCTCATCCAGTCAAACAAACAAACAAACTTGAATATAGTAAAATGGTTTTTACCATTTTACTATATCTTGCTACTGGCAAAGGAGGTCTCATAAACAAACTTGAACTTGACCCGTAGGTACAGGTGCAGTTGCACGGCCTGCACACTCAATGGCTACAGCCAGCCGAACAAATGGGGGAATTAATTTACGAGTGCCTGGTCCTGTATAGTAGTGTATACCACCAAGATTCATTCAGAAACAAACATTAGGATGGAAAAAAGGTTCCATAGAAACAACCATTCATTAAAATAATCATTTGGTGGGGAGGGGGGGGGGCTTATTTGACCATATTTCACCATGCTGGTCACTGCAGGTTCATGAAGCGGAGTGACCGGTTCAGATGTCACTCGTCACTGACTGATGCTTAGCTGTGGCCGGGAATCGAGCCCAGGTCTCCGGGGTTCATAGTGCAGCGTGGTCAGTATCACCTTCTCAGCATCACCTGTGCGTGACATTGTCCCACCCCAGCCCACTTTACTTTACCATTGTCTTCTAACTTAGCCACGAGTTTGCGCAAATGCAGACGAACCGGTTCGGCACGCTTACGAGTAAAGTGCGACAAGTGATATCTCCAGCATGGCCGTGATGTCGTCACCCCCTGAAAGTCATTTATCAAAACTAAACGAACTCTGCACCTGCGGCTTAGCATTCCTACCGTGCTTATCTCAATTCACATTCGATCAATTCCATTTTCAGTTTTAAGCCAGTTTATGCATCTATTATACTTTATAAGGGTTTATTTGATATTGAATGCCTATTGGCATTCAATATCAAATTATTCTTTCCCCCCCCCCCCTTCTTTTAATCACAATTTTTGTACCTCCATCATGTTTCCTGACCGCGAAAAAGTGGTGTTTTTTATCATCAGGGCTGCTGGCATTAAACCAAATTAAGTACAAAATCCAAATGTAGCAGAAACTCTCAAATCACTACACTTGGGAGGCTGGTTTAATCATGGGCAATCGTTCTCGAAATGTCCCATATTTCTTAGGGCCACGGTGGCGAGACGTTAACTACCTCGCCTAGTATACAGGAGGTCGTGGGTTCGATCCCGAACCTGATGCCTTTATATTTGAAGTTTGCGTGTTCTCCCTTTGATCGTGTGGATTTTTCTCCGGGTCCTCCGGTTTTTTACCCTCCACATTTAGAATCAACGTGCATTTAAAGTATTTGGCTGCTATCCATTTCCACGTTGTAAGCCACTTTGTTGAGCTATCATTTGTGGCCAGGTCGCTTCTGAAAAAGAGCTGTTATAGCTCAGTGGGCCTTACTTGGTAAAATACAAATAGTTTAGTTCAATAGTTTTTAGTTCATATGTCTCGTGACCCCCCATTAATTGACCCCTAAATAATGTTCCCTTTGTATGTTCATTTCTGTTTAAAATAAACCTTAAAAAATATTACGTTTTAGAGAATTAATGGGGGGGGGGGTCACATAACACATGGACTATCCTGTACAATGCAATCTCCAACTCTAAGTCAGTCAGTCAGTCGGCCTCTCTGTTCTCTTTCTCCACCTGCTCCGAGAGAAATGCCATTGCACCAACACGTTATGCTGCTCTGTATTTGTCCCTCCGTTATGAAGCAGTGCTCGTGAAAAATGTCGTGGATCGGATAGAGACGCAGTGGGCGAACTCAAACCTAAACTGTTGCTTCTTCTTCCTCCACAAGACCACAACCACCACAGCTCCGAGGATTGCCAGGGCAGCCGCCACGCCGAGCAGCCACGGGACGAACTCAGGGAGGGTGGCTGTTGAGGGGAGGGGGTGCGGGGGAGACACCAGGTCGAGTGGGAGAGTTACGTGCACGTGATTGACACACCCGAGACAGCTTTCCTTAGAGCCTAGTCTCACATGATGTTGGACCAAATGACGCCATGTGAGACTAGGCTCTAAGGAATGCTGTCTCGGGTGTGGACCAATCAACTTCAAGGACAGTGCATATCATTATCCTTCTCTTTAAGCCGAGGGGGATCCCCTAATGGCAGCTGTCCCTGTGCGGCACAATGCGACGTAACACCGAGCTGCAAGTGGCCATGAGTCTGCCAGTGGAGAGCAATGTTGCCATGTTGTTACCCAATTCAGTAATTTGAGAGAATTATGGCAAATGTGGGCAAGACATGGGCACACACCCAGTGTTTTGTTTTTTCAAGAAAATCGTCACACGGATAATCGAGAGCTATCTGCAGGGGTTTGACACTTTATTTAATTTCATTCCTTTTAATTATTAAAATATTTCTCTTGGAAAATCCCTTGAGACGAAACATCTCGCTTGCAAGGTTACCCAGGGTGTCAACTGACACGCTCATAGCAAGCACGCAACTTTGCATATGAAGGCGAGTTCGCTAAAGATTACCATCAATAATACCTAACATTTCAATCGGCCTTATAACGCAATGCGGACAAAAAAAAGACATTTATGATGATTGATTGTTATTTTTAACGTAAAACTATGGTTTAACACGTAGCCTTTCGCGACCAATATTCATAATGCACGTTTTTGGGTTAGATCGCATAAGTAGAAATGTGTCGTAACCCTCCACCACCCGACACAGCCAGTAAGGTTTGTCACGTAAACAACGCGACAATTAGGTACTACTACAGCCCACCGGTGTGTTGGAGAGGAAATCCACAACATTTACAATTTGAATACTGACGGTTCGATGGTAGTTACAACCAGCATCATCGGGCGATTTGCCAGTAGAGTGAAGCCATCCACCTGCTTCTGGTCTTAAACAGAGCAGCAGGGGGGGGAGGGTTATTGTAATTATATAATAGATTAGTAATCATGTTGTTACCAAACATTTTTTTAAATCATAAAAATATGATTTTAAAAGCAAATAAAGAATTCTAGACGAAGTTTATTGAGGACTGGGGAGCCATGTTTGAGATGCATCGGTCATGGGGGGTGGGGGGGGGGGGGTTGGGGGGTTGGAGGGTTGGCTATACTTCACCACACAGGTGAGTGTGAGTTGGTGAAGGGGGCACGTTTTGTCTTGCCTCTGGCCGAGCACCTGTTATGCACGGGGAGCGGTGGCGCAGTGGTTAGCACACTGCGCTCCGAGCCCGGCCACCCGAGTTCAATTCCCGCTCGTGACCAATCCCAGTGATGATGATCTCAATCAGTATTGGACCTCCCCTAGGCCGACACAGCCTCACATTAGTTCCTGGCGCAGTGTGTAAGCATCGCTTCTGGGAATACAAAGGCGTGCGGTCGGGTGTGGTGCTAACGGCACTTTCCCCAAAAAGTATGGTAAGGCTATACGGGTGATCTTTGTCTTTGCATGGGTGCCCCTTCTGAGGTCTACGATGATCTCAAGTCTCTTCTCCTCGACAAGGGCAGTGCCCCAAGCAGAAAGAAAACTAAACTACTCTATTTTTATTTTTCCCAAGTAAGATCCACTGAGCAATTTAGATATTTTTCAGGAAGCGACTTGGCTATCACAAACGATAGCTCAAGGAAGTGGCTTATCACGTGGAAATGTATAACAGCCACATAATCGAAACGCATGTTTCTAAATGTGGATGGAAAAACTGGAGGCCCGGGAGAAATATCCACGTGACCACGGGGAGAGAGACATGGAAACTCCGAATGTACAGGCGTCAGGATCGGGATCGAACCCACAACATCCGGCATACGGGGCGAGGGAGTTAACATCTAGCGACCAAGCCAATGGATGAATCACAAACCAACAACGCAAAGTCATCGCCTGCTCAACCGAGCACCGAGGCAGTGCTCAGCTCCTGTCTGCGATCCCTGAGCCGGTGGTGGAAACTCCGCACCCCCATGGCGGCGGCGAGCCTCTCCATCGGACGACAACCGTTGCGCTTTCTCCACAAAAAGGTAGACACCAAATTTTTCTAAACCAACCGCGGAGGGACAATGGGCCGAGTCAACCCCCCCCCTCACCACGCCCCCCCCCCCCTGCCACAACCAGGATTTGAATTCCACCGACGAAGGACAAGAGGAGGACGGGAAGCGGTGAACGAAGGAGGACCCACCGGCTTGTTTGCGCGTGCGCAGCCTGACCCACGGAGACCATGGCGACGCGCCGACCTGGTTGTGGCAGGCGATGCGGGCCCGGTAATCCGTGCCGGGCTCCAAGCCGCCCAGGGGGGCCCCGTACGAGGGATCATCGGGGACCCCTGCCACCTCCTGCATCCCCGTGTCGTCGTCCGGGGCCCAGCCGCTGGCTTCCGTGTCGTTGTCGGCGTCCGCCCACTGGCCGTCGTCTCTCGCGACCTGCAAGGTGGCAACGTGTCCGTCAGGCTCAACCGGGACACGTGGCCGGCTGGCAAGCCCCGTGTGCTTTTACATAGTCATGCCTGCAGCATAGCGACAGGCGCTTACATACAACACGAAAGAGCGTGTCATTTGTGCAGTTCAGCGATCCGCTCATGTTTAACATATCCGGGCTTCACAGTCGCTCGTCAACAGCCCTTGCCCCGTCAGCCTGCATAGGCTAACGGGGGGGGGGGGGGGGATGACCTTTGTGGTTGAGTGTAATTAAGCGAGGGTCGCACCTGTACCCGGCACCCGAGTAGCGGAGAGAATCCGTCAAAGCTGGGGTTCCACGAGAGCCAAGCGTCGCGCGTGCTCACGGTCACCAGCCGGGGCAGCCCGGGAGCCTCCGGCAGAACTGTGGGTGGGAGGTGGGGGGAGCGGGAAGGGGGGGGGGCAGCAGCAGCAGCACCAAGAGCATCGCACTCCACTATCTCAGCACCACTTCACAGACGCGTCACCCACACTCGGATATGACTCCGCGCATCCACCGGGCACGAACTCGGGAAGTCGAACTCAGGTGGCTGGGGTTCGTAGCGCAATTCATGAACCGACGTGCCACCATTCAGTGGCGTACACAGGTCGGGGGCGGAGAGGGGGGGGGGGCTGCGATGGGGGGCAAACGTGCCCCCCCCCCCCCTCTTGAAATCCAGGAAATTGGAATTTTCCTGGATTTCAATGTAGGGCCCCTATTTTAAAAAATTGACTGACATTTCAAGATCGCCATATCCGCTCCCGGGGGAGTTTATAATTTCGCCACTACCGCCACTTCCACAGTAAGGAAGCACACACTGACACTCATCGACAGTGATTAACACAAAATTTAGTTTTCAAATAAATGATACCGTTGCCTGAGGACAGAGCGATGGCACAGTGGTTGGTGGATTACACCATGAACCCGGTTACACCCGAGTTTGAATCCTGCCTTTGGCTACCATGCACATATCACGTGACTCCCTGGAACACTCTTGCAAACGGGCCATTCCATCTCCCGGGATCGTCTGCAGGTGATCATTTTAGCAACAACAAAAACACCAGTTTTTGTTGTTGTTGTGGTTATTATATTATTTTATTATGTTTTATTTTTATTATTTTATTATTTCCCTTCTACGTGACTTTACCGAAAGAACCAAGAAGAAAGAAACACCAGTGGCAAATGATACCTGAACTGGTCCTGGTTCCCTCTCCAATAAAACCGCATTAACCAGCCGGGTGAAGTATGGTGAAACAACCCCCTCCCCCCCATGACGCACGTAACATTGGGAGGCCTTCATCCAGCAGTGGATTGACAAAGGGCCATGAGCCGTAGCGTTGCGTGCAGCGCCAAAACGAATTGAAAAGGCGGTCGTGTTTTATTGCGAAATCTGAGATCTGTCTTGCCGAGCAATCGGAATTGCGACAGAGCCACGTCCACCCACACACAGCGACACGCGAGACGCCTCACTGGAACTTTTTGACCACGCGCACACAAACCTACACCCCCATAGCCCACCGCGTCAGGTTTGCGAGTGAGCACCGTTTAAGATTGGCCGAGTTGATATAGTGGTGGGCCAGGCCAGATTCAGATTCAAAAAACAATTCACCACTGGTGATGCACATGGATTGGAATCAAACCGAGGCTATGCGAGGTGCTCGCGCGATGAGGTTCCTTTATCATTTACACACAAAGTGTTGCATTTGACCCCGCTCCTCCCCAGGAGAAGCTACAGCAAGGTCAGTCCTAGGGTCGCCACCAGTCCCAAGTGTGACCCGGACAGTCCGGGAATTGGCATCTGCGTTCTGGTGGCTAGGAACTGATTTCTACCCAGATCTGGTACCGGCGTTGCTGCGTTGGACTCAATTCCAGCGCACTGCACAGTTTTGATAATGGACCCAGCGCTGACTGAGGAATACGTTCGGGTTCGGTCTACAGTGGGAGAGGTGTCAGCGCGCCCTCACCCTTCACGTTGATCCGCGCCTCCCTCGAGACGCTGGTGCCCCTGGAGTTGGCCGCGTGGCACGAGTAACTCGTCGTCTCTGAAATTCCTGAAAATCGAGTCGCATCATCATCATCATCACCACGTGCATTCAACGCGTACGGGAACGCCACGGCCCACGGGCCAAACGTGGCCCAGCTACTTCGTTTTATACGAGCCCCGTAGCGACATGTGGCCCCACCACTTCAAAGGTCACCCTTGCAAAAGGAGCAACGGTGTGTCATGCGTCTCGGTGGGTTTATTTCATCCGCTGGTGAAGCAAAGTGCGAGCGCAATCGAACTGGCAAGCGTCGTGGCTGTACTAATCGGGTATACTGGAAGGGAATATTGTCGACCGGGCAACACCGTGTCTTAATAACCATCGCGCTCGGTCACGTGTTGTCTCAAGAACCGGAGTTCTGACGGCAAGGCCAGTGCGCGGGCATCGCTTCAGTGCGGTGAATGTGAAGCCAGGACGATTTTCTCGCGTTATCATCGCGCACAGCCGAGTGGTGTGCGATCATGCGCGTCCTCCCGCTGTCGTTATTCGAAAGTCCCTTTCCTCGGTGGGCTCACGCAGAGACAACGTGCTTTTGGGATGCGGTCGCGTTCCCAAAGATTGCCACGAGAGAGAATCGCTCTGGGTTAACTGCGCGGCCACTCCTGAAGCCGCTTGAACACCGGGCTCGGCGATGCGATAACCGTGGCGGAAACAAAAAGCGAAGCGTTGCAAAGAAAGAACACGGAAGGAACGCTTTGTGAGAGTTTCCTTGTTGGAGGTGACGCCGTGTGTGAGACGCCGGCTGAGATTGACTCAGAAAACAAACAAAAGGCGCCCAGTTGAAGCGAGGGAGGAAGTTCACGAACCGAGACGTTTCACTGAATGCACAATACTTTTACCCGTCGACGCGCCGATCAAGTCAGATCTCGGAAACTGAGCAGATTCGAGTCTGGACGGTGACCGCCACCCAGCGCGAATCAGGGTGGTTAGAGGCCAATGCTGCTGCGGGGGCTACGTTGTCACCAGAAGCCTTTGCAGAAACAAATAATCGGTGTGTGTCTGTGTGCGTATTTTCTGTATCGTGGCTCTCAATACTCATCTATGCTCCCCACACCTTCACAAAATACGCACTGACTGGCGTGGTGAAGTATGGATCGTATAACCACCGCGACATGCGGAGGTCCTTATCCAGCAGCGGATTGGCAAAAAAGGGCCATACATGTACACGTGAACTCGTGTATTCACCAATGAGTGCGTCCATGCAACACGATGCAGTCGTCACCATCAAAGCTTAATAGGAATTGGACGCTGCTATGAATGTCTACGTGATAAGCCACTTCATTGAGCTATCATTTGCGATCGCCAGGTCGCTCCTAAAAAGAGATACATTTCTCAGTGGGACCTGAACTGGTGAAAGGAATAAGTTATAGTTTTCTGAAGCAGGGATGGTGTTGGGGGGGGGGGGAGCGCAAATGCCCTCTCGAGGGCCTCTCTTGAGCTTCCTCTCGTGCAGCCGCTGAGATGCCACGGGGCCTGCCACCAGAGCGCCTGTGCCTTGTAGCCAACAAGGCACAGGGGCTTGACCCGTACCGCTGGGGGTGGCAAACGCCACAAGTAGGCACCACAAGCAGAGAGCTATGCGTACACACTCTCTGGATTATGTTTGCTAGTTACAGCCTTGTTCCCTGGATGCGTCACATCAGTTGTTAACCCCTCCGGAATGCTCCGACCTTGCCGTCGTAAATGTTTGCCATCTAGAGATAAAACGATTCTCGAAAATAATTGATAGCGTTTGCCACTCTGGGTGGTAACCGAATCGTCATTTGTGGCCAAATGTCTCAAGGACCATCGTAACCCTCAACAGACCGGTGGTGGCTGTGCACGGGGCCTGTGATACAGCACTGTGGAGGTAGCGAGGGTTTGGCGGATCACACAAAACATTGTGAAACTCCCTTCCTGTTGGGCGTCGAGGTGCCATGCCCCCCCCCCCCCCCCTGCTTGCCAGAGGAAGGTGGCACAGCGAGTGCGGATTCATCTGTTTCTGTATCATCTGTATGGGATCGAGCGTTGCCCCTCTCCCACGCATATAAACACTCATCGTTCATCGTCCACAAGCGCCTCCATACGGATGGACCTCCGTGACTGCGAGTTGCGCGATGCAGTCGCACGAGTGACGCAGAATATAAAACGACGAAAAAAAAAAACGAAACTCAAACGCACCAGACACGTGCAGTTCGGAGGGAGAGGACCCATTGTTGTCTGGCTGCTGAGGCTGGACATCTGCGCTGCTGAACCACTTGATCAACACGGGCTCAGGAGGTCCCAGTGCAGTGCAGCGCAGCGTGAAGGGCTCGCCCCGGCTGACGTTCAGAGACCGAGGCTCCCCTGTGATGGTCGGCCTGCCTGGCACGGTCAGGGAACGGAAGGGATTTCAATCATAGTAATCATTAAATAAATGTACGTTGTTAATATTTCACCTGGAGAATCCATTGAGATGGAACATCTCTTCTGTAAAGAGTGTCCAGGGTTTTCATGAGGTCACTACCCCCGGTAGAATGGTCACACAGTGGGCGTTTGTCCAGATAGGTTATAGCGGGCATTGCCCAAAATGTCACTTGTTTTATATATTTGCATTTAGGGCCACTGTGTTATTGATGAATGTGTTGATATTAGTTGTTGTTATGTGTGCCTGTGCATCACTGCCAATGCAGGATCACAAGTAAACAAACATATTTTGAATATAAACCGGAGTTAGGCTCCTAAACACTCGGCCCAAATGAAGTCGCAATGCATACCAGTACAATCATTATTAATAATGCCGTTTATTTATCCCGGAATGTGTCACTGATACTCGAGACTCATTTTTGTCATGCTTTATGAGTGCATATGTGACCGCATTCATGCACTCGTTTTGTCTTTCATCCGGTATGAGGATGGCTTTATAAGTCGTGAAGATCATCCAACAAAACTGTCTGAGGAATTTGTGTTGTTATTAGGGACCTCCCCTGGGAAGCAATATTTATACAAGGGTTTTTGCCCAAAATGTTGTGACACTAATCTAGAGCAAACATGACTATTTTAGAAATCGTCATGTTATCAGACAGCTAAACCCCGTCGGGTTCCGTACCACGGATTAAAACGCATCCATCTTAAAACTTAACTATTTTTTATTTTACCAGGTAAAATCCCGCTGAGCTACACAGCTATTTTTCAGAAGCAACTTGGCGACAAACGAAAAGCTTAACGAAGTGGCTTATCACGTGGAAATGTTTCGCAACCAAATACCCTAAACGCACCTTTCCAAATGTGGCGGGAAATACCGGAGCACCCGTAGAAAATTCCACGTGACCACGGAGAGAACATAAAAACTCCAAATACACAGCAGGCGTCAGGGTTGAAATCGAACCCACGGCCTCCTGTATACCAGGCGAGGTAATTACCTTCCACCTGGATCCATCCCTCCTTGGACCGAACCACGACTCCCCCGGCTAAGGTGACCTGACAGGAGTAAGGGCCGACGTCTCCTTGCTGCACGCGGTGGATACTGCAACAACACACGCGGCAGACAGCCAATCAGCAGCAACGTCACCGCCACCATTGTGACGTGTCGGCCCGTCATCAACTGTGAATTCATCATCGTAACTATCGTCATCAATTCACCGTCATCGATTCTCAATCCATCATCATCATCATCATAACCAACATCACCATCAATCCATCATCAACTTTCAAATGCATCAGCTCGACTTGTAATGCACAAATGACAACATATCTCAGCAGGCACGATTAAAACACATTCCTGCGGAGGGAGCTGGTAGGAACGTTGGGTTGCTCGGTCAATGGCCAGGGTCAACGACGGCGTGGTGTGTTCCGCAAATATGCCCGACTGTGAGGGCGGGCACAAGCCGGCGTGAGAAGGTTAAACGTTGAGTTTGACGTGGAATCGCTGGACCACAACGATGGGCAGCTGAGAGCAAGGATCACCACGCCGGGACCGCCAATAAAGAGGACTAAGTTTGTCGAGAAGAGGGGAAGATCAGTTTTGACGATGAACATCTCAAGGCGCGCGGCAAAGTGCAGCGCCCCCGTAGTGCGTCGTCACTTGACGGGAACTCGGTAGTAGCTCTATGAAACCTCCTTTTGCGGGGCCATTGCTCTCCTAGTGTTCTGCATGGAGCACTTCATCTCGCGACACTGACGCCGGTGCCACAATTGGAATGAATTGGGAACAACGACCGACCGTATTAATGTTTCACCGCTCCCCCCCGATAGATTTGAAAACACCGCACGGATTGGAAGAGGAGGAGGAGTGAGGGGGGGGGGTCGTACGTGAGCGTGCTGCGGTGAACAAATGCGGTGCCGCCGTGCTTGGACAGGGCGAGCTCCGCGATGGAGTGATGTGTGCCAGCCCCCGCCGAGCCGGTGCCACCCGAGGAGTCGGCGTCGTGGCCCAGAGGGGCCCCGTCCCGAAGCCAATCGAGGACCGGTCCCAGGCTCGCGCTGTCCGCCTCGCAGGAGAGCGACAGTTCGCCTCCCACTGAGGCCGTGGCGTTCTGTGGGCTCTGCGTGAACACGAGGCCATCTGCACGCGGCGACAGCGTTGGCGTTACGAGGCAGGCGACCGTGTGTGTTTGTTTGTGAAAAGGAGCTTTGTACGTGTTAAACAAGCCCACGTGTACTCTTTTTTCGGTAAAGTCACGTAGGTAAAAATAATATTAAAAGATACATAATAAAAATAATAGAAGAAATACTAGAAATAAAGTAATAATAATTATTATTCATTATTCTATTATTTCTCCTAATATTGTTATTATTTATATTTTATTATTTATTTTTTAGCTACGTTCCTTTACCGAAAAAACCTAAGAGTATGAATCCTTGCAGTCACGAAAGCTTCAAATCTAGAAAGCCTACGTGTCAAAGAACATTATGGTTCATTGGATTCCTCCAGTATAAATAAATATTATGATTGTGATTCTGACCAGAGTTCGATTCCGTCCCACGGGCTAACATCAGAGGTGAGTATCTGAACCGCTCCGGGGCCTCCCCCTAAGTCGACTCAGCATGAAATGAGTACCTGCTGCGGTGTGTAAAACAACAGCACCGGACAGCGAAGGGCGGCCGGGCGGGGTGTTGGCCACCCACCCCATCGTGTGCCGTGTCGGCTTAAATAGGTGATGCTCGCTAGCAGCACATGCCCCAACAGTCTGTTGACGGCTAGATGGGGGATGCCAGTGTGTGTGTGTGTGCGAGACGGCTCGTCAAGGACGCCGCTGGGCAGAAGGAGAAGACAGTCGCCATCCAAAAGCAGCGGAGCCGAGTAAGCGACGCTCACAACAACGAGCCGAGCGCCGGGCGACTAAAACGCAGCGAGTTAGCAGAGTGAGGAGCACAGGTGGTGCATCTGTCTTGTCAGCCATCTCGGTCAGTCAACCCATGGCACCTGGGTCTGTTCCGTGACCTGCCACCAGCGAGCCTTCGACACTTCTTCACGTGGCCTCAAGGTGCACCTATCCTGGCACAAGCGCCGTGGCAACGTCACAACCACTTAGTGGTGAACGGCGGTTGTCGTATTTTGTGTCTGTGAACGCGACTGTGAATCCATCTTCGAACGCGTTGGTGATTCCGTGTGTGAATGCGTCTGTGAGTCTGTAAATCTGTCTGCGAATTTGTCTGTGAATCCATCTGCGAACGCGTCTGTGAATCCGTGTGTGAATGCGTCCGCGAGTGTGAATGCGAGTACATGCGCATGTGCGGTGTCTTTGCCGCGCCGGCCTTCTTATTACGTGCTCGAGAACAGGACTTTGCCCCAGAGGTCTCTTACGGCTATACGGGGGCGATCACTGTCTTTGTGCGTGTGTGTGTGAGAGAGAGAACGCGTGCGTGTCTGACCTGCGTGCACCAAGCGCATGCAGATCACCAACGAGAACGCGCTCAGGGCGCGTCGTACATCGCGACGCATCTCCTCCTCTTCCCGGCGACGCGGATGTCCGAACGCAAATTCCTTCTCATCACCGAAGCGCCGAACAACAGCGAGAGGAAGCACGGCAAGCGACTCGTGGCTCCTCCGCTTTCCTCGAATCAACTTCTGGAGGCCGCTTGACTGGTGGACACCGAGGCAATCTGTGCAGAGTAGTAATCTCTATCCGCCGCGCTTGCGCAGCAACACGCGGACGTCGAGTAAATAAGAAACGCGCTGCGACTCAAAGCGAGCCTCTGAGCGACAGCCCTTCAAAAACTAATCCTCCTCCTACCCTACCACGAACCCACCCCCGTCCTGACCCCCCCCCCCATGCGTCTGACGCGTCTGGCTAAGAGCACGACGAACACCCAGCATCGCAAACAGCAAACCTCGTCTTGCTCAACCGGCATGGGAATGTCGCGTGTCTCACAACCCGCGCCAACACCCTCGCCCTGCGTAGTCACGGAGCCGCCTTCCCAGTGCGCAGCGCACGCTCGCATCGCCACGAACCTGGCGACCCGGGTTCGATTCCCGCTCACGGCTAACATCGGTGGCGATTATCAGCCTCAAATGAGTACCTGGTGCGACGTGTAAACATCGCCACTGGGGAGACAAAGGCGGCCGGGCGTGGTGTTGGCCACCCACCTCCTTGTTTGGCCGTTAAGGCCTTTGTAGGTGCTTGCTAATAGCACTTGCCCCTACAGTCTGTTAAGGCTATACGGGGGGTCTTTGTAGGTGTGTGTATTGATGTGGATAGCCTCAAGGTGCACATAGCCTGGCACAAGCGTCGTGGTGACGTCACCGCCTCTTAGTGGCGAATGACGGTTGTTGTTGTTGTCGGTGTATGTGTGTTTTGATGTGGATAGGTGTGTGTGTTTTGGTGTGTGTTTTGATGTGTGCAGGTGTGTGTGTTGGTTTGTGTGTAGGTGTATGTGTGGGAAGTGATAGTGTCGTGGTTAGCGCGCTGCGTTATGAATCTGGCGCCCCGGGTTCGACTCCCGCCCAGTGACGATTATCTGAACCGGTCCCGGGCTTCCACTAGGTCGACTCAGCCTCAAATGAGTACCTGGAGCGGTGTGTAAACATCGCCACTGGAGAGACAAAGGCGGCCGGGCGTGGTGCTGGCCACACACACTCCCCTCGCTGACGGCACTTGCCTCGACAATCTGTTAAAGGGGGCTGGGTGCTGGTGGGATCGATCTGTTGTGTATCTCTGTTTTTGTTTTCATGAGCCTCCAGAGTGAATTGCCGTCCGATGTCACAAAACTCGTGGATAAACACAATTCACGAGATTGTGCCGTGATTTAAGTGCGCGCGTGTGTGCCTGTGATCTCAACACATGCGGTAGACGATTTAAAAACAAGGCGATGCAACGTGTACTACCACTACAGACTCATTGACGCCTTTCAGTTACTAAACAAAGATCCCCCCTTGTGTGTCGCTTTTAATTCACGATTCAGGCAAGTGCTGTTAGCGAGCACCTGTTAAAGTAAAGGACAAAGATACCCTCGTGTAGCCTTAACAGACGGTTAGGGCAAGTGCTGTTAGCGAGCACCTGTTAAAGTTGATGACAAAGATCCCCCCGTGTAGCCTTAACAAACTGTTGGGGCAAGTGCTGTTAGCGAGCACCTATTAAAGTAAAGGACAAAGATCCCCCCGTGTAGCCTTAACAGACTGTTGGGGCAAGTGCTGTTAGCGAGCACCTATGATAATAATGCACGGCGCACACACAGTCTTGTACCAACGTCCACAGACGTTTAAACTCCCATGTGCCGGACGACTACTACTCCGTAGACATGAACACTGTGCGGTGTGCACGCGCATGCACACGTGGGAAGGAGAGGAAGACCAAATCACTGCAGTTCTGCATCGACGGGTGAGTAAGGGGCCGTCCATAAATGACGTCACGCGATTTTGGACTTTTTTTGACCCCCCCCCCCCTCGTCACACGGCGTCACAAAAAGTCAAACCCACCCCCCAAAAATAAAATATGCTTAAAATCGCTTTAAACTATTGTCATTGTAGTGCGTATTTAATGTGCCGCTGCACTCTGATGTTGTAGGAGAAAACATTTATCAAAAAGTCTATTTAATTAAGTAGAACGTGTTGTCTATATTTATTGAAAGTTGCGCATTTTGATGTGACGTTACATTTCTCACCCCCCCCCCCCTCCTCGTCACACATCGTCACAAATGTCTGACCCCCCCCCTCCCCAGGTGCGTGACGTGATTTATGGACGGCCCCTAAGACGCCGTTGCACCTGCGCGCACGAGATCACGTGTCGCTCGTCCGGAGGGAATGTTTCTGACATCCGCAACTCGGACCTACTGGGTGGGTGCGTGTGGGTCACTGATTTCCCATAAAACCCTGGCAACCCACAAACTTGTCTTCCCTCCACGTGGCTCCCCGTGAGTCAATGAGTCATCGCGAAATGCCTCAATCGAGATTCTACGCCGGTGCAGGCGACAGGCAAACTCTTTTTAGTCGACAGTCCCTGTTCACCGGGGAGGGATCTTTGTTATTGTGAGTCTGCGGATCTCTGTTTGAAAAGCTCTCCTCGGTGTGGGCCTTACGGGTCCAGTGGCATCGTGTACTGGGACGTGGTTGGCATGAGCGCCGGTCGCAGTTGCATAGCCTGCGCATTCGATCGAGAGCTTCGCGACTGATCGCTTGAAGGGGAGTGCCGCCCTCTGCTGGTGACCATGAGGGTAGTGATGTAGCGAATTAATCGTGAAACTTTGGTAGGGGCGATTGGATTGGATTCATAATACAATGTCGATCTTCGTCGACCGCTCAGAAAGCGCGTTATAACGGGCGCGTTGTGTGAAGAGTGTTCCCGAACGGAAGAACCGCGTTATAGCGAAAACGCGTTGTGTGAAAACGCTTTAAGCGAGGGCTTACCGTATACTGTTTGTCCATTCTTTAAACGTGCTAAATATATCGGATTCTAGTGGCTGGTATGAGTCCAGCGAAACTTTAACGTGCACCATTAAGTAATAATAACGAGAACAAAATTCGAATTTACAGCCCTTTGTCAATGCACTGCTGGATGAAGACATTACACGAGTTGTTGGACAGTACTTTATCGTACTACGAGCTGCATGGATAGAGGAAGGAAATAGTTAAGAAACTTACACAATATTTTCGTCACTGTATATCGGATTTAGTCAACATATCTTGCCCCATATTTTCTCTGTACTATGATGTATAAACTCGATCAACATCTCACCACGGAAGCACTCAAAACCTGCGTCACATGGCAGCGCTCATCTCCTACACAGGATACGGTTCTTATCCAGTGCTGGAAATTCCACATTCTCATGACGGGAGTCTCAAGTCACCGAAGCACAAGACAGGGTGCCATGGTCAGCTACCAGGCAGGTGTTCCATACATACGGAGTGGTATCTCCTGTAATCCCTCATTTACTTGATACAGCTGTCGGTCTGTGACGGTTCCACCTGAAGACGGAAGCTTGTGTTGCCTCCGAAACGTCGTGATTTTTATTTTTATTTTACTTTTATTAATTTTATTTTTTTACCTACGTGACTTTACAGAAAAAAACCTAAGAATATGAATAGGTGTTCCATCCTACAACACCATGTCTCGCTCGACTCCTCTCAGCGCACACTCTTCCTCCGCCCCATGTATCTGTAGAGGTGCTAGACACACTATTGGGTAACCTGCAGGGCACTATGTCATCAGAGGGGCAATGCAGTGTTACCGCTCTGGGACCAACGGCCGGGGTCAGGGAAGGGTGGGAGCGGATCGTAAACACACTTTCCCGGCAGACCAACGGCCAAGGGTCAGTTCGGGTAAAAGAGGATCGAAAACACAGATTCTAGAGAGGCAATCAGAGGGTCCCACGAGGGAGCGTGTGATTGGATAAGGTCCGTCACAAACGGGTATAAAAGGGCGAGCGCGGAGAGCGCCCGCCAGTTCTCCCAAGACGAAGACTCAATATTCTTAGGTTTTTTCGGTAAAGTCACGTAGGTAAAAAATAAGAATTAATAAAAGTAAAATAAAAAAGTAATAAAAATAACGAAGACTCAAGCCAGCTCAAGATGGCTAGGACCCTGAACCAAGCCTTCCAGCTCTTCTAAGAGCTAAGGCTCAGTGTTACCAGCGGTCAAGGGGAGAATAGATCCTGTCAGGCAGGACCCTGGCTCCCCAGCCTTGCAGCTCTTGTAAGAGCTAAGGCTCAGCGCAACCTGTGGTCAGGGAGAACCCACCGAGCCAGCGGTGGGTCAAGCTAGCCTCCCCTAGGTCCCAGCCGGAGGACGCTAGGGTAGCGGGTAGACGGAGATTAGTCCCCGCCAGTTCGGAGGCTGTACCTCCCTAGGCTAGCAGCCAGACCCGTGTGTAGGTCCCGCTAGGTACAGAGGTTTTACCTCCTTAGGCTACGGGTGAGGGAACCGCATATCCCTCTGTGTGTGTGGATAGGGACTGTGTCGGAAGAAAGACAATACACCAGTGTGTGCTTTAAGAAGTTTATTCATCTGTTATTTACAACACTATATATCTATCGTTAGTGTGGTCCACTGTTCGTGGGGTCTGCTGTTCGCAGGGTTCCACTGTTCGTGGGGGTCCATTGTCCCATGTGGCCTCACGCGCCTCGTGTTTGCGAGGGCACCCAAAACGCGCCACGTGAAACCAACAGATATCAAAAGACGGTCACTTCGTACACACACACAATCCACGAACAAGAAAGCTCCCATTATCTACGGGCTCGCGACTCCCGTATTTACTGGTAGATCAGTGGCGTAGCTATCGAGTGTGGAGGCAGTGGAACTCTATCGGGGCTCCATGCCAAATTCCTCGAAGCCATCGGAGCCATAGATTCACACAGTGACCCACGTACTCGGATAGATGCCCATAGACACACATCGAGTTACACGTAAAGCGCCGTAGCTATCGGAAGTGCTCGCCCACCCTCTATTGGACATCTGTGAAAAAATTAACCCGTAAAAACAAAGTTTTTCACTATAAATCCTTTATATGCGTGGCGGCTAGAGTCCTCTCGTCCTCTGGCTTGAGATGGCTGCCACCTATGGGTCAGATGATTGCCTGCCACCATTAAGCAATTGGTAATTAAATAAAATTTATTTTTTCCTAAAAAGTGTAAAATTTTGGAATGTTTTTAATTTACGAAAATATATTGTCACGCACAACGAGTCTGTGTGCAAAATGTCAGCTCGATTGGATCACGGGAAGTGGGTTTAAAAACGACCGAAATATTTGCACGGTCGTAAGCGCGCAAGCAAGCAAGCAAGTG